ATAACAAATTTATCCAAAACATATTACAATACAGTGGAGTATAAAGTATGTGTTCTGGTTTCTTCTAAATAGCGTTCCAAAATGTCGAGTAAATGTTCTGTATTCTCGTCTCACTTGATAGTGTCTCAGCCATATCCAAACCATACAGACAAGTGTTAACATATTCAATGCGTCTGGTGGGTCGTGTTAGCCTTATTATTGACAAACAACTTTGCTCCAGTTATAGATGAACTGAAACCTCCTAAGCCGCAATGTGTTGACCTAGTTGTTAATACAAACGCGCCGAATCCGCCTATTGGGGTCGGTTTTTGTTGAGGAGCGTCTGCTATTTTAATATATTCGCAATTGGGGGACAACTTGTAATGTTCTCTCAAAGCGTTGTCTGATCTTACCCAGTCACTCAATTTAATGTGACATCTGAAACTCTCGCACACGTCTGATTTTCCGCTATAATACAATCCCACACTTGCTAACTGATATTTATCTGGTAACATTTGTTTCGGATATGTTTCAAACGTTTTCAGTCTATTTTCGTAATATTCCATATTTTTGATGAGGGGTGTGCAGTCAGTGACGTTTATTTTGTGTATGCCAAAGCTTCATGGGGTATTCATTTATATACACACGGTTTGATTTCTGATTGGATGTTATTTTTAGAATGAGGTTATCGATCTATTATAGTACTATTGTCATTGCTATTTATAATCACGTTTATACCAGTTTCCACAATCATTGGGGTTGTACTCCGGGCATTGTAGAGCTCCAATCTGGTTTATGTGATCACTTGGAAGGTAGCAGGGTACTACTGCAACCAATTTAGGTAACACTTGTCCTATCTCTGCAATCAGTTTCTTTAAACAGGAATACTCTTTTGGTCTTAAATATATACCCTTTTTAGTTGGTACTATTTCTTGTTCTTGTTTCCAGTTCTGTCTAATGGGTACACATACGCTGTTGTCGGTGATGTTACAGTAGACATTTTCTCCAACGTGGGCCCTATAGCTTTGCTTGTTGTGTAAAGCCCTGTCCAATATTCTAACTAATCTACCAGATTTTTTTCCATCGCATTAACGTTAAGCTGATGCCCTATTTTGTTGGTTTGTCATTCTGTCATTCATTGACTTGAACATATCTCTTATTACCGATACTGAACTTGCATCTGTAGCTAGTCATGTTTAATGGTCGAGTATCAGAACTCTAATGACCAGTGTTAGTGTCTCAATGTCTTATATACAACAGAAGTCTCTCCTGATTGGTCAGTTTCTTCTTGCATTTAATGGCAAGTTATTTTTAGCTCATGATTCCATGACCTATAAATAGAAAATCATACCTTGTTTTTCTTTGACCAATGTCATTAAAATCGATTCATGCATAAGTGAATTATAATTGTTTCAATACAAATATATATATATATATATTTTACGTTTCATTGATTTTGACTTCCAGTATGAACTTTACTATCAACAGCGTCTGAAAATCATATCGTATTCGGTTGCTCTAGTAACCAAAAAGCTAATTGAAGTTTCGATCATTCTTTTTTTGAAAAGAGAAATTACGTTGATCACTAGGCTGATGAAATTTTGGACAATTTGAATGTATTCCGCTAAAAAAATAGCAAATAAAATGTCGAAAATACACAGGAACAAAATATTGTTGCAGAAAATATTTTATAACACACATCGAATTCTTTATAAAAATGATAGACCCATAAACCTAGGCATTTTCTGAATCTACTCATCGAGATCTTTTTAACGGTATATAAATTGAAGGGTTTTGTGAACTTTGAAAATTTGGGTTTAAAAATCGCTGTTACGTAATAACTCTGTAACAGTTGAAAATCGAATCGACAATGGGGGATGTAAATTAAAGGTATTGAATTGTTCTTTCAATTGGTAGTCAACAATTAAAAATCATATCGTACTCGGTTGCTTTAGTAACCAAAATATATTTTTTACGCATAAGTGATTTTGACTTCCAGTATGAACTTTACTATCGACAGCGTCTGAAAGTACTCTTGAATACCTTTAATTTGATACCAAAAGTAAAATCGACTCATAAATAAGGACGCCACACTCGTTTGAATATTTTTAAACAATTAAGTGCAATAACCCTTTATTTAACATCGGTGGTTAAAATACACAAAGTCTATATCTGTAATATCTCAGTAACTCATAATGATAGACCCATAGACCTAGGCATTTTCTGAATCTACTCATCGAGATCTTTTTAACTGTATATAAATTGAAGGGTTTTGTGAACTTTGAAAATTTGGGTTTAAAAATCGCTGTTAAGTAATACTCTGAAACAGTTGAAAATCGAATCGACAGTGGGGGTGTAAATTAAAGGTATTGAATTGTTCTTTCAATTGGTAGTCAACAATTAAAAATAATCTCGTACTCGGTTGCTTTATTCACCAAAATATATATTTTTTTACGCATAAGTGATTTTGACTTCCAGAATGAACTTTACTATCGACAGCGTCTAAAGTGCTCTTGAATACCTTTAATTTGATACCAAAATGGATAAAATCGACCAATAAATAAGGACGCCACACTCGTTTGAATATTTTCAAACAATTTAGAGCAATAACCCTTTATCTAACATCGGTGGTTAAAATACACTAAGTCTATATCTGTAATATCTCAGTAACTCATAATGATAGACCCATAAACCTAGGCATTTTCTGAATCTACTCATCGAGATCTTTTTAACTGTATATAAATTGAAGGGTTTTGTGAACTTTGAAAATTTGGGTTTAAAAATCGCTGTTACGTTATAACTCTGTAACAGTTGAAAATCGAATCGACAATGGGGGATGTAAATTAAAGGTATTGAACTGTTCTTTTAATTTGTAGTCAACAATTAAAAATTATATCGTATTCGGTTGCTCTAGTAACCAAAAAGCTTATTGAAGTTTCGATCATACTTTTTCTCAAAAGAGAAATTACGTTGATCATTAGGCTGATGAAATTTTGGACAATTTGCATGTATTCCGGTAAAAGAAAATAGCAAATAAAATGTCGAAAATACACATGAACAAAATATTGTTGCGGAAAATATTTTATAACACACATCGAATTATCTATAAAAGATTTAAAATTTGACAAAATTCAATCTGTTGCCCTAAACTACTGACCAATACCCTTTTAGCTTAATCCGAAATCAACAAATATTGACGTATAAATACCAGTTCATTTTATGCCTGACCCTTTTTAATCCGTAAAATGTAATTTCATGTTTTAACTTGAATAAAATATGTTTATTCTTGCTTTGAAATTCAGTTGCTTCTTACAAATTATATTAAGTTACAAAAATGTTTCAATTTATAGATGTTTACATGTCTGAAATATTAAGCTCTTTGTTGTGCAGCGGCTACGGATCTTACAAATTTAGGAACAGTGATGTTCATATCATCACTATCGCAGAAAAACTCCGTGTAATGAGTAAAGATTCTGTAATTCTGTCAGTGGATGTTTTGGCAATGTCTGCTCTATCTGAAAGCCCCACCTTCTTGTCAACTCTTGGGATAAATGGAATCTCTTTACACCAAGCAGTTGATTTAACTTATCAGGTAACGTTTATTTCTCAAAATGTATGTTTTAGAGTAAAATGTTTTAGCATACTGATATTAGATATGTATGTATGTTTCTTCATAAAACTCCATTAGTACTTATTTTATACCGAATCTCTGTTTCTATATCAATATTTGTTATGTTAAAATAGATAATAAAAAAAGCCTACGCGGAACACCACATTTAAAGTTTCCCTCTCTTTTTGTTTTGTTTCAGGTCCTACCAATTCTGATGAACGTTATAGGCAATAAATTTGTTGATTTTCAGCAGTTCAACATTTATATCAATAAAGGAGCCTATAAAAGTTGGCGACAAAACATTGCGCTTGAAAACACATTAAATCAACACTCGTCAGCAGAGGTGCACCTATATTTAAAACACCACGAATCTGACATTCATTTTTTAGGAATCCTACTGCATGAATTTGGACACTGTTTAGTCAACACAAGGGGGCGTCCGTGGCCGGGTGGTTAAGGTCGTTGACTGCAAACCACTTTCCACTCATCGCTGCAGGTTCGAATCCCGACAGGGACTTTGGATTCTTTCATGTGAGGAAGCTATCCAGCTAGCTTACGAACCGTCGGTGGTTCTACTCAGGGCACCTGAGGTCTTCGCCACCAGTAAAAGCTGGAACGTCGCGATATGACCTATACTGTGTCGATGTGACGTAAAACCAAAACCAAAACAAAACAAAAAGTCAACACCAGACAAAATAATGGACATACTCAAGAATGGTTAACGACCACCAACAAACTTATGATGGTTGTCAACCATTTCATTGAGGACTTGCCTGTGTTGGACAGTTACCAACATAGTTTATGTGCTGTTGCAATAGGACCAAACATTTGTAATAAATTTGAGGATGGTGCCGTATGAACACATCTGCAGATGCTTCTAAATTCAAAATTTTACTGTTTCATGTTTAAATGTTGAATTCTGCTTAAGCCGGTGCTAGGGGGCGTGGACGGTAACTTGCACTTTCCAGTACCGTCCATGAACAGGCTCAATCAAACCGAGCCTGCATCATTTTCAATTTTGCCGTGTTGGGCTTTCTTTAGGGATTCTGTATTTATCTATTTTATTTCTCTGTATTATCTTGTCATCTCACCGTTTAGGGCTCAGCACCTGACCCTCAATGTGCGCGACCACGCCCTAAATCGTGTATACAAGTCAGCTCTGTATACTTCCAGGAGATAAAAATAGAATAATGATATCATTTTCTAATTTAACGTCATTCTTTAAATAGAACGATAATAGATAATGTCCTTCTAAATATACACAGAAAAAGTGATTCTAAAAATAGAGCGATGGTGTCATTCTTAAAAAAAGAATCCAAAATGGCCGCTGCGCATGCGCAGTCGTGATGCCAAACTGTCACCTATACTACTTACAGCTTTTTTAAAGACTGAAACGACTAAAACTTCCTAGTCTTGTGGGATTACATATAAACAAGAATAGTTGACTCTAAGTAAGACATTTGAAGAAGGACCATTTGTCATATTATTACAAAATGATATTGAAAAAGTTTGGAGTAATTTTGTTAGCTGTGTTCGTTGTGTTGGTACCCGTAGCAGAAGCTCAAAATTGGAGAGGGTATGTTTATCTCTTATATTTAATCTCTGTTGTTTTCCTGTAGTTAAAATCTTGATTTAAAGAAACTCCACTGAGCTTTTTCGACATGAAGGGACAGAACTGTTTTTTTGTGTGTGTTTTGTATACCATTTGAAAATGGTATGTTAATCTCTGATTTTTCTGTAGTTTAAATATTAATATAAAGGTACTCCACTGAGCTTTTTTGACATGAAGAAACTTGATATATATTTTTTCGAGCTTTGTACATGTATACTATTTGTCTGAGTTCTAGACTAATATTTTACGTGCACAATTTCAGATCGTTGGGTCACCCCGTTTATCTCTGAATATTTGTTCTTATAGCGCAAAATGACCGAACATTGAAAAAGCATTGCAACGCTTTTAACTCAAATATGGCTTTGAATCACGAAAGAAAACATTGATTTTCAAATAATTACAGTTAATTTTCTATAATCTCTGGTATATTTTCCCAACTTTGAATGAATCAGTTGATCAATGTAAGAATTTATTTTTTTAAGATTTTGGACCTCAGTGAAGCTCCGTTAACTATCCCCTTAAGTTTCAGAAGTCAAGAACACAACAGAACAGAGTTTGTTTCATAATTTGTACGCACATAGGTACATATTTATATCAAACATGTTGAAATACCATTTTATGTCACATGTATGTGAAAACACGATTGTGATTAGAGTAATATCCAAACCCATTATCGTAGCGTTGACTGAGCGGCAGCTGTCTTAATATGTGCTCGTTTAATAAAACTTGCGAGTGACTTTTATCTTCGGCATATTTATATTTTGTAATATATTAATACAATTATAAACATAATTTAGAAACAAACTTTATTTTGGTATTTACACTATTGAAGGATGGTCCTTAAATGAAATGCATTCAAACCGTATTTCTGTAATGTATAAAACATTTGACAGGAAATGATTGAATTTCATAAAATTTTGTATTGTGACCAAAGGTATAATGAAAATCAAAAGTAAGAGTAAAAGTAAAAGTAAGGGCTGTCAATTTATTTTAAGTTATCTGCTTGAAATGACCTGAAATAACATAAAATAAATAAATAAATAAAGCGAACAAAACAACAACAAACAGACAAAAATGAATAAATAAATAAATAAAATCACGGGAAGGTAACCCGAAGCCGAAGACGGTGACCCCCAGTTGTTGTTGTTGTTTTATTTCGCTTGATATTCTTAAAGCATGCAAAGTTTAAATAAATCTTTCTTTATGTCTTTTAACAATATACTATGTTATATACCGCTTGTGTTATTACCAGTGTATTAATATCAGGGTTGTATATTTTTGTATAGATTCAATGATTCATTGCTAGTCTGGTAAGTTGGCCTATTTAAAATATTTTAATGATTGATTTTTTGTAAATGATTGATACAGTGTTCGGATATTTTAATCAATAAATGATTGATACACTATTTATACACATTTATGTTTTTAAAGCTTGTTTCATAATTATATATCAATTCATGAAACGAGCAAAATTCATATATGTAATACATAATTTTAAAGCAAAAATATTAAGTATTAAAAATCATCATCACCATCAAAGTAAAAAAAATGAGGCCTGTAATATATCATGTTAGTCTTCCTTTTCTGATGCCAGGACGCTCTTTAAATTGTCCAAGTATGCTTGCGGGTGCTTCATCTTTAATGATCCTTCTGCCTGGTGAATACACACACAAAAAGTCATCATATAACACACAAAAACAACACATTTGCAGCAAATACACTTTAAGTAATGACCAATCAAACCAGGAATTACTTAAATACGGGCACTTCAAAATGTTTAAGAACGATGTTATGGACTTTAATGGGTGATACTTAAGTCCGTCTACCGGCTCTATTTGGGTCTATTTGAAGTAAACAGCTTTAAAAACTGACAAATATTTATTGAAGTCGGTACATAACGTACCATTGTTTGAAGTGGTAATTTAATCATCTTTAAAACAATTTGTGTTATTTAAAAAAAAACCCTTTATTATTGTTACAATGAAAATGTTCAAAATAAATACTTCCTTGTACATTATATATTATTGACATGATAACAGAGAGAGTTTTCAAAAAAGCTTTACAAGCTTCCTACTCAATCCGTAAATTTTATTTTATGTACTTTATTATGTAAATGTGTGGATTATAGATAAAATATTGTTTTATCTAAAACGGAATAAAAATTTAATGCGTATATAATCAAAGATTATATACATATGTATAAAGAAAGGTAATTCTACACCTTACTTAACTTCCTTGTCTACCAAAAAGGAACATTGTGTAAAAACATTAATGCCATGTTTGTCGGTGTTTTTTTTTTTATTCTGTAAAAGAATATATTTTAAGGACCAGTCCAGTCCAGTTTGGCGACATTAAATGTTAAAAAGATACTTTCATAAGGAAGCCGGTCTTTACGTATTTTAAATGTAATCGACGCAGAGGACTCTCTATTTATTACTTTGAATTAATGCTAGTAAATATCAAAAGTACAACGCAACCTTCTTTGAAGTAAATTTCCGTTTGCATGAACAACGGACCTGATTTATGAATCTTCTTGAGAACTTATTCTGATAAACGTTATGTTAGGAGGTACACCATTGTTCAATATTTAGGCTTTTTTCGGCCGTATGCTGTTTGTTTCTATCGCGACTTCCGGTAAATTAACAGGCTATTTGCCATCAATTTAGCGTATTTTAATACACCTGTTAAAATCGATTAATTCTTGTGAATGATAAAGTTTTATTTGAATCGAGTTGACCTCTGGTTAAATCAGCTTATCTCGTTGGTCAACGGTTTATTTTTTAGACTTCTGATTGGATTAAATTAAATTTGATAGGTTGTTTAATTACCTATATAGGTTATTTTGCTCTTGCTCGCAATTCTGTTACTTTTTTGTAGTCGAGATCACGTTTCTAGTCTTTTTCGGAAGTTTTGAAAACATAATTTTTTTCCGTTCATTTTCATTTCGGGTCATTTATTTTCGAAGCAAAATGTAGTTTTTTGTGAAAGGATTTTCTGTTTTCTTATATTTGAAACAGTTTTTTGTATTTATTTTTGTAACTTTCTGACCAAATTGTTTTTAGTCTTTTTCGTATGTATCGGATACGTAATTTCATGTGTTAGTAAAAATAAATACATAATAAATATTAAACACTGAAACCAGATTAACAACGGCTGGAAATCTTTTTTGATAAGATACGTCTTGTTAAACTTTTACTTGTTTAGTGAATTTATAAGCTTAAAAGGAAAAAAACTAACAAGCAAAAATAAAAACTAACTGCTACGGAAAGAAGATATTAAGAGTATTTTATTTGAAATGAAATTGGATCAGAAAAAATTTAAGACGTGTTAACATCCTGGTCTCTGTAAAACTATACATTTTCAAAGTGTATATTTTCAAAATTGTTAATTCAAACATAAATAACTACGAGGTTTATATCATCTTATTGAAATTCAGTACACGAGACGTAGGCCTTAGGACATTTGTTTTCCTAACGTTCTTTTGTACGACCGTGATAACGTGTGCAAAAATATACATTTGTATATAGAGTCTTAACAAATTTTTTTTTAACTTGTAAAGTTTTGAAAACATTGTATAAATTAACGAATTAACCAGTATTTGCATGATCCCTTAGTCAATGATGGGCTAATTTCCTAGATGGCGAATCAGCTGTATGGGTTATGAGACACGAGGTTATTCCCACGGTCTAGACTTAAAATTTAGATAAATTTAGCACAGAAGAACCTTACATAGACCATTTTAAAAAGAAAACCTCCACATTTTTATTTTTTTTTATCTTAAAGGAACATCAGTTTTACGATATTCACAAAATTGTTTAAATCAACTTACACGAATATGTTTGATGTACATGTATATAGTTATCTATGTTTAAAATTCAATATGTGTTAATGATATATGTCGTATATAATTAATTATATTAAAATAAATAAGATCATTCAATGAGCATTTAATCACATATGGCATTGTTTTTTCCTTGTTAACACCGGTCGTCAAAAATAATCATATATGACTTCTTGCTCTTTTACAAGAGCAGATTCTCTCACAAATCAAGTCAGGAAATTTCTTTAGCTCAAATCTGTAATTTCACTATTATTCAATCTTTAGAAATTTCGCATATCCAGATCGAGTGTTAAAATTTGGATCATTGATTAAAATTGAGACAAATTTTGCATGTGCAAATTGGACCTGAAAGCAATGATCCTTCAAATCCGAGTCTATATATTTCGCTTACTCAGATCTTGTCTAGAAATTTGTAAGCTCTGATAAGTGTGAGAATTTTGCTTATGTAAATTAAGGCAGTTAAAATTTTGTTCATTTAAATATAGGTTATTCAAATGAGTCTGGATGAGTCTGGAAATACAACTTATCAAAATCGAATTTTGAAAGTTTGCTCAGCCGAATTCGATCTAGACTTTTCATTATTTTCAAATTGAGTCAAAATAATGCTGATTAGTCGAATATTATAGCGTAAATTAAATGGATAATATACGTAATGTATACCGTCAGTTTCGACACCGAGTATTCAATTTATTTTTAGCTGATGGATACCAAAAAGACAAAAGTCCTTGCTGCTATAAGCCAGAAGATGAATTACATTCTATTACTAGCTTACGGAACGTCGGTGGTTCTACCCAGGTGCCCGTTCGTGCCTGAAATAACGCACAGAAGGGCACCCGAGGTCTTCCTCCACCAGTAAAACTGGACGTCGCGATATGACTTGAACTGTGTCGATGTGACGTAAAACCCAAAACAAACAAACATTCTGTTATCAAATTTTGCAATTATGTAGTGGTGATATTTTAAGTGATATTCGAAATCTTACAACTCATGTTTATGTCAGAATAATCATGAAGTTTATATGTAGATATGTATCTTACAACGAGTTAATATTTCCATACATTGATATATTGTTGTAAATGAAACAATGAGTTAATATTTCTTTACAGTGATACATTGTTTTAAATAGAGTGTAAATATCATGTTTAACCCAGACGCTGTCTGTATACATGTTTAAAGGTCAAATCGGTTTAAACAGAAATATGCGAGCTAAGAGAGAGATTTTACATCAGTTAAGGAGAGACACGCTGATAGTGTGTAGCGTTTATTTTTTTTGTTGAGATTATGAAGGGAGCTTTGTTGGTTTGTTGAAGTTGGTTGAATAAAATTGTGGTGATCTTAATTGATCAGGGTTTATTGGTTGTAATTAGTTGTTTTGGTTGTTGAGTTATATCTGTTTGTGTAGATATAATTGGTTAATATTGGTTTAATGTTTGTCTGGTCAAGATTATATTAGTTGATGGTTTGTTTTGAGGATATTTGTAACTATTGGGTGCTTTAGTTTGCTTTTCTAATGCTGATTAGATTGTGTGAAGTTAATATTGTTGGATGAATGTTTGTGGTTATTAGTGTATCTTAGAGTTGTAAAAAAATAGTCATTTCTGTGTTCTTCATTTTGTGGTGATTTTTGTAGTTTTGTTTGATTATAAGTTGTTTATAGCTTGGGCTCGCCAGGTGTCTAGTATTGTTTCGTATAAAAGACGTATACGTGAAAAGATATTGATAAATGACGTGTGTTTGTTTTGGGTGTAAATAATGATCAGAGTTCTTTGTTTTGGGTGTAAATAATAATCAGAGTTTGTTGTTTAAATGTATGTATTGATTTGAGATAAAAAAAGATAAAAATACCTAAAAAATAGTGTTAACTAAACAATTATATGCGAGGAAAGATTCCAACTTAAAGAGAATATCCCGGACGAGCCCCCATTATATGTAAAATATGATAAACAAGATCAACAAGGAAAGGCGGCGTTCAATGAAATTTCATGTAAATAAAAGGAGGTAATAAAATTCTTATTATATATATAAAAAGTCCTTGCTGCTATAAGCTAGAAGATGACTTACATTGTGTTATCAAATTTGCAGTATGCGATATTTTATGTAATATTGGGAACCTTACAACTCATGTTTATTAAGCTTTATTTACATGAAAATCAATACACATAAAATATATGTATTTCATTTTGTGAACATCAAAATATTTTAACATTTGTCATCATGTAAAGTTTCTCTCCAAAAAATATTAAAAATGTTTAAGCATTATTATTATGTCTCTTTACTGAAAGACATTTTTAATTTGTCCATCAACTTTTGCCTTTTTAGCTGCTGAATATGATGTGATATGTACTAAAAAATATATTGACCAATGCTGTGTGTAAAATTATCAGTGTGCTAAATGTTTTGGCATTAACAATATTTCTAGGTGATAGAAACACTCAGAATTTAAACAGTAACAGTTTGTCGTGGTCGAGTAACTTTCTTTATTTTTCTTCAATCTCTTCTTGTTTTCTTTAATTTCAGAAACACCGAGCCTTACAAAAAATGGGAGTCAGACAGATGTATAAGATGTATTTGCCAGTATGCAACGTAAGCAGATTTTTTTTCCTCTAACACACGTCTATAAGAAATTGGCTATTCATTAGTAGCCTATAGAAATTTTAGCCTATAGAAATTTTTCATACCAAAAGTTTTATTTCTTTTACTTGTGTCAGTTACATCGTAACCTCGTAAGCGCCAATTATAGGCTCAATATCATAATCCTTATGATTCTATTTCCATGTCCCCTAAGATACGATATGCAAATAAAGCAAATTATCTTTTTTTAAAGATATTTCTTGTTTCAAGAACACTATTATAACTTTTCTTCAGTTATTGTGGCGCGTGGAGATATTTCACTTGCAATGTTCTAGTGACTAAACTAAGGTGTTTAAGAGGATGGAGACATCGAGGGGATTACAACTGTAATATCCGTGAGTATTATTATTTTTCTGACACTTTTATCTTATTTTATCCATTTTATTTATTTATTTATTTATTTATTTATTTATTTATTTATTCATTCATTTTGTTTATTATTTTATTTTGTTTATTTTCCAGCAATATGTAGACCAAACTGTGGATTAGTCGGAGAGTGTATAGCCCCAGCTAAATGTGACTGCAAAGGCCAGGCAATAGGTCAATATTGTCAGACGTGTAAGTAGTTATCACGAACATAACATTGTTATGTTGATAAGTAAGACCTAATAAAGGACGACGGACTGAAGACGACCTAGTTAATTTTAATATATTTCATTATAGAATATCAGTACTGAAAGACATTTCACCCTGTAGTTGTTATTTAATTTACCATGTAATAGCTGGATTTAGATCTTATTTTTCTCTTTTTAACATGAATATTTCCTTTTCTGTTTTAGTGGTATGCTCTTATACTAGACCATGTTACCCAGGAAACTGCTATTCCAATTCCTTATGTAAATGTACCGTTGGATTCACAAAAGAAAATTCGGCATCACAATACGGCTGTTTGAAAAGTAATTATTATCAAAGTTGTTTTTTTGTTTTGTTTTATCTATACTCAGCAAGAATAAAAACAAATGACCTACACTCGTTTGCATATGTTATGATCTTACATTAATTAATATAGATTATTTTTAAAACAATAAAAATAGCTAATAAAAGGTTCATAGACCTAGCATTATAAGCCAATTTGAAGGGCCGAGGAAAAATATAAACATTTTAATAACAGTTATAATACAGGTAAGTCAAAGTTCGGGGCAGCGACGCGGTCCCGGGCTTCGGGTTGACCGGCTATAGACTACACGTGTACAGAAAAAAAGAAAAACAAAAAGAAAAAATATAGAATTCTATACCTATCAGCGAAATTTTCAGTGTCATTTCTTGTTGGGCGCCGTAGCGCAATGATAAACGGCGGAATAATCCGATAATTGACAAATCGCAATTTTTCGGCCTACAAGATAACTATAAAAGCTAAGGAATTGTGGGCAGTCATCTTGGATGGGAACCGCAAAAAGACAGGAAACCAGAACGAACGGAAGCAGTGTATAAAATATCGAATGGCATTTTTAAAATGTAAAATAAAAATACCGACCTCCCCGTTGGCTTTGCCTAATTTCATATTAGCGCAAAAACAACAACAGCACAACAACAATAAAAACAACCAAAACAAAAACAACAATTTAATACCGGTAGAGAAAACGACCATTTATGTTGTTATTGTTGTTTTTAATCCTTGAAAAATATGATAAAATTAAGCCACTTTTCTGTCACCTTAGGAAACAAAAAATGTTAAGGCCAGATGGCCTGCAATAAATATTAAAATTTGTTGTGACTGCGTAGCCTGGTATATATTCTATTCTGTTATTCAAAGATAAACCGATGATGTGCATGTTTTTTTCGTAAATAGAGTATCAAATAAAATTTTCATATTTCAAAATATTTTTTCTTGACAAAAATACGAAAGGAATTAAGGAAATTGGTTATATTAGGCACTTTGCAAATAAAAAATAATTGTTTACTTTTTTTACAGTTGACACAAATAATAAACCGTACATTGGTAAATCAACAAGTGTCATAGAACACAGTAGAAAGACAGATAATAAATTCCTTTTCTACTTCTTGTTGGACGGTACAGACGAGACAATGAGCAAGCTTATTGTTTGGAGTAATCAGAGGGTGTTTAACATCATGCGTTTCACATTCGAGGTTAGCTACGAGGCACCAGAACCAATGGCTGAAAGGCCGGTCTATGTTCATAAGACAGCAGTTGGTATTACAGAGGGGAAAGTTTTACTTCGTGTTCTAGATTACAAAAATGGTATATAAGATTCAATCATTGTTTCTCTTTAAATATTGCGCTTATATCATGTCATATCATATCATGTCATGTCATCTCATAACAAAAGTTTCAGTTTTTTGTTTGTTTACATTGCGCATATTCGTCTATGATGAAATAACAGAATTTAGAACAAACCTCGCGTATTACTCAAATTATGATTCAATTTTGGCTACAGTACTATGATTTCGTGTGTTCGTATTGTAATTTTCACTGTCATATCGTATAAACATACAGATATCATATCATCTCATATCATATATGGTACCTATCGCAACACCATACTTTTTCGAATCGTACCGTATCTTACTGTATCGTTCCATGACATACGGGGGCAGGGGGCATATCCGAATGCAAGCTCCCCGCAGCGGAATCAACTTCAACTTCAAAACTTTATTGCATTACACAAATACATGTTTATAGCAAGAACAAAATATATAAACACAAACAACACAAGTACATGATTTTTCAGAAGAATTTACAATCATATGAATAAAATACAGATCACATTTGATAGGATTAATTTCTAAAAGTGTTAGCATGATATATAAATTTGCTTAAACCATTAATTACAGTTAACGATGATTCAGACATTACATTGATAAACTTTTGCTTAGTCGGCCATGTGTAGTAATACCGGTTACGATACTTTTTTCTCAAATCGGAGAACTTCGGGCAAATAAGTAAAAAATGATATTTATTCTCTATTTGATTAAATTGGCAATTTTCGCAAAAACGTTCATTTCTTGAAATTTTACGATATCTTCAATATTCTATAGCTAAATTATGAGACGATTTTGTGAATCTAGATAAGGCTATTCTATACTTTTGTTCTTTAATTACACTTCAGTATTTTTCTAAATCAAAAGTATGTTTAAATAAACTGTATGCATTAAGACGAGGTGAATTATTTATCAAAGTATACCATTTTTCGTAATACAAACTAAAAGTTAAATTCTGAATTTGATTGCTTTAAAATCTATCTGTATGTTATATTGATTTTCCCATACAAATATTAATCCAGATTCATCTAATATTTGTTTAATAGTGTAAGCCCAATTTTTAACATTATAAGATTTTCCATTGTTAGCATCAATTCTTAACATAGAATATTTTTTAAAAAGGATTGTACTTTCTTGAAGCGATAATAACTTAATCCAATATTTAATCATATTTATTTTCCGTTAAATATACATAGGTGTTCGACCAAGTTCGCCATATAACGCTTCTCGGTTTTAAAATTTTCTACAAAATTTACAATGAATAACTTTGACAGTAACCGCAGTGAGGAGTTTGATCCGAATGATGGCCCCTGTTAATTTTTTTTTAATAACTCAGACGTGGTGTTTCAAAGGTACTGGGAACTTTTGATATTTCTCTGTCATTGTAATTATATCTTGTTTGTGTGTATGAAATGAGCAGTATTTTTGGGATTTTACCCGAAACTGAGCATTTTGGTAGCTTTGTATGTATTTGTGACTCTCTGAATGGAGGTAAAAAAGTTAAAAATCAAGCTTTGACAGTTGGCGCCAAACAATTACGAAATTTTTGATAAATTTTGTGAAAATCCTAAACGTTAATGGTGTGCAACTGGTTATCTGACTACCTTTGAAACAGATTTTGAAATTTTTGGCCACACTGAAATACAAAATTGTTCATTTTAGATCTCCTGCCCCTATCAAAATCAAATCATACCGTATCATACCTATTTTGCCCACTCAATTCTGGCCATCATTATCCTATAGTTAATCAGTCACTTAAAATGCTTAATTCTGGAATCTAAAATTCCAGTCCTTCAACTTTAGATATCAACAATATTCAAGCAAAATGACACTAGAAAATATATTATGTTAGCTATGTAGAGGCTTCAGAAATTTTTTATTATGCCCGCTTCGAAAAAGAGGTGGTATATTGTTTTGCTAATGTCGGTCGTTAGTCGGTACGTCGGTAGAATACATGTTTTTCGGTGATTATCTTGGAAAATATTTATTACAATGTCTTCATATTTCACATAGTTATTGATCATAACAATTAAATTACTTTTATTGATTTTGGAGTCACTAGGTCAAAGGTCAAGGTCACTGGAGCCTTTAATGTCAAAATGGTTTCCGCTGATTATCATGAAATCTATTGATCACAAAACCTTCATATTTCACGAACTGATTGGTCATAACTAATAGATGACCCCTATTGATTTTGGGGTCACTGGGTCAAAGGTCAAGGTCATAGGGGCCTTACATTTTAGAATTGTTTCAGCTCATAATCTTGAAAGCTGATTATCACAAAGTCTTTATATTTCACAAACTGATTGGCCATAACTAGTAAATGATCCCTATTAATTTTTGGTTCACTATGTCAAAGATCCAGCTCACAGTGGCCTTGAATTGTAGCATGGTTTCGCTAATTATCTTGAAAGCTAATCTTCACATAAAATCTTCATATTTCGCATAGTGATTGGTCATAACTTGTAAATGGCCCCTATTCATGTTTGGGTCACTATGACAAAGGTCAGGGACAGGGGCTTTAAATGTCAGAATAGTTTCGGCTTATTATCTTGAAAACCATTCATCACAAAGTCTTCAAATTCACATACTGATTGGTCATAACTAGTATATGACCCCTATTGAATTTGGGGTCACTAGAGAAAAATGTCACTGTGATTTTAAAGGTCAGCATGGTTTCCGCTTATCGTCCCCGCCTTTTTGAAGAAAAAAGGGGATATAGTAATAGGCTACGTCCGTCTGTCGGTCTTTCAGTCCGTCCGCACTCATAGGACAGTTATTATATGGCTAGAGGGACAATAGGTAACTGTTCTTTCTCTTTAAATGTCATTCATTCCGAAATGCTTTTATGTGGCTATTTTCTTTAGTGTGGCTGAAAAGAACAATAGAGAGAACAATAGAGTAGCCATATATCTCTTCTGATAGAACATCCTTCCATATGTCCGTCCGTCACACTTCCGTGTCCGGCCCATAACTTTGTCATTTACCAAAGGAATTTGAAATGAAAGGATATTGAAAACACTTGGCACACATAGTCACTATAATAAGTCAATGTGTTATGCAAAACACCTGTATCCCTACCTAAGAGGTCAAAATTTGACATTGTCTGTTTGTGTATGATCTAGAACATCTATATAGTTCAAGTGATTTTGAAATAACTTGGCACATTAATAGTCACAATAATAAGATGATATGTCAAGTACAACAACTGTAAGGTTAAGGTCATTGTAAGAGGTAAAGATTTACATAGTCTGTTAAAGGGTAAATTGTTTGTCCAGTCCATAACCTCTTCAAGGAATTTTGAAAATAATTGGTACTAATAGTCACAATAATAAGACGATATTTAAGGCGCAAAACATGTGCCCCTACCTTCAAGGTCACACTCAGAGGTAAAAAATAGCGTAGTCTGTAATAGGGTATATTTTGTGTCTGATCTATAACGTCTTCATAGTTCAAGGGAAAATACTTGGCACAAATAGTTACAATAATAAGACTATAATGTCACGCACAACACCTGCAACCCTACCTCCAAGGTCATCTTCACACTTGGAGGTCAGAGGCTTAACATGATATATTTTTTTTATTTTGTGTTTCATTTTATTTCTTTAATACATTTATTTTTGCATTTGCAGATCTAGCGTTGATCATAATTTTGGACTGAAAGTCCTGTGATCCACACCTCAATCTTTTGAATAGCACAATTTTATGCTTCATATGAAACTTCCGAGGCGGGTGACGTTGGTAACTCTGTTACAAATTCTTGTTATCTTGAAAACTATTGATCACATAGTCTTCATATTTCTCATATTGACTGGTCATACCTATTAGATGATCCCTATTGATTAAGGGGTAAGTAGGTTAAAGGTCAAAGTCACAGGTGTCTTTAATATCAAAATGGTTTCCATCATTATCTTGAAAACTATTTATCACAAAATCTTCATATTTCACATATTGATTGGTCATAACTAGTAGATGTACCCTTTAAATATTGGGATCACTATGTCATAGGTCAAGGTCACAGGGGCATTAAACGTCAGAATGGTTTTCGCTCATTACCATGAAAACTGTCTATCATAAAGTCTTTATATTTCACATATTGAATAGCAATATGTAGTAGATTACCCCTATTGATTTTTGGATCACTAGTTCAAAGGTCTAGATCACAGGAGCCTTAATTGTAAATATGGTTTCCCCTCATTACCTTGAAAAACTTTTATCAAAAAGTCTTCATATTTCACATATTTATTAGTCATAATTGGGTCACTAGTTAAAAGGTCAAGGTCTTTATATCTATTTCATTAATTGGTTATAACTAGTAGATCATTATGTTTTCTTTTTTCCATAACTGAACACTTCCATGTACCTATATATGGCAAGTTTCTATAACAGAATTACCAATATTGTGAGTCAAGGGCTAGAAAGGGGGGCATATATGTCGTTCAACATTTTTTATTTTTGTTTTGTCATTCCTGAAATTGTCCTGTCTGCTGGCACTAAATTAGAATAAACTTAGCATAAAATTACCCCTTGTTTAGTTTCTTAGAGTAGGTTAGGTCGATAAACAGCAGTCGTTCTGTGTATTCTCACTATTGTGTTCGAGATCCTTATTCGTAATTTTACGAAAAGGGCCGAGAAAATGCGATTGGTGCTTAGCCTATCTTATCCTTCCGCCCAGAAATGAGGTCCTGAAGAATACTCACAAACAACCTGTACAGTTCCCAGAAATCACAGGAAAACTTCACAGATGCAATATATACACTTAAAATATGACCAGTCAAAAGAGGGATGACATTAAATGGGGCATTTTAAAATTTTTAAGAACTTAGTCTAGACTGCAACGGGGTTTGGCCTATTTCCTTACCAGGGCGAGACTTATCGCATCGTACCATTTTTTAAAAAAAAATCTAACATTACTATTTTGTACCATATACATGTACATGTATACACACTTAAGATATTGATCTTAAAATAACGTGGTGTTTTAAAGCAGAAATCTTTTTTTATCATGTGTCACACCTGGTCGTTTATTTATTTATATATAGATATTTATTTATTTATTTATTTATTTATTTATTTATTTATTTATTTATTCATACTATAGTGGAGCATCCAACACAAAAGTACGACATAGACTGTCCTGCATCTAATCCGTCAAATCCACAACAATTGTTTAATTGTACGATAGAGAATGGAGAATTCAAAACTCTGATAGATCATGCAGACACGTGAGTAGAATAAGAAATGTATGTTGTAAATATTCCATTGTAAGAACGGAACAGTCTATGGAAGAATATGTAGAGACTTATTTCATGAAAAAAGTTTGTAACATAGGTCTAACTGTGTGTGCCAAATTAATTAGGCTAGTAAAAACTTTACAGCATATTTTGATCTTGAGTCGCGTAATATTACCATGCGTATGGTAATTACACGACAGCAGCACACTGTCTTACTTTCTATTTGAAATTTCTTAAACATTTTATAAAGGATCGAGTCATTTTAAAACCCACACATCAAAACACTAGGTCAGAATTTTTTAGAGTGGACACAACCCCATGCATTCCAATTATTTATTATTATACCATATGATTGATTGTGATTTACTTGTACATTTGGTTTAGAAAGTCTTTATTTTGATGTCTTATAATTGATAACATGCCATTCTATATAACAAAACTTTTTTCATAGAAATTGACCATTCCAGTAAGCTTAAAGGGACTTCACTGAGTTATTTTGACATGACGGTAGTGAAAATATTTATTCCAGATTAATGTTCCATTTTATGTAGATCTAGACCAAAAACGTGCGTACACAATTTCAGAATTAGCTCACTCATTTTTAAAAAAAAATTAAATATTTTAGTTGAGAAAAATGACCAAACAATTGAAATTCTTTTCACCAAATCGTGAAAGAATTGAATTAAAATACTATGCATTTTCCCCCCAGAACATAAATATTGTTTATTAGTTTGTTTTTTTTTGCTTAATGTGTCCCAGCTGATCTTTGTAGGAAGTTCAAATTTTATGTTTGTAAGCTTTTGGATTTCAATTATAACAATCGCCTACATCAAGAAAACATTGATCCCTACCATTATCATAAGATTCAACAAAATTCAGAATAACAATAACAGAAACTTCAGTTATTTTTATTTGACTAAAAATCCAGAGTGTTTACAACAAAAACATACAATATCAGACATGAAATAGTGCAAAAAGAATTTGTTGAGAAATATAAATTCATGGCAATATTTTTTTTTATCAATTTCTTAAATTATTTGCCTTATATAAGAATTTAGTAACATTGTTGATTTTCCTTTTCTCTGTTCCAAAAAGCTCAAGTACTCGTTAATGTTCTTACTTTTTTGACGTGTTAATTCTGTCCATTAATTGGCAACACGAAAGTTGTACTGGCTTTCTATTTCTTATATGTCTTTTATGAAATCCTAAGAGTTGAAACGTGTTTTTGCATGGCCACACTTTCTCGCCTTACTGTACCGTCCCGTACCGTACATGTACTGTGTCAATCCTTATCGTATAGCCAAATGTATCTATTTTAAATATTTTATGTTTTATTTTAAGGTTAAAAGTTACTTTTGAAGCTAGGAATGGAGGTTATCGACAGATGAGTAATCAAAACAGTCTACTACCCGAAGACACATTCATAGGACAGACTAGTAGAAAAAATGTAATCTTTCTATATATGTATCCAAATTATCCTTAAACACTCCCGACCTGTGATTGCAGAATACCCTTAAATGCAAATATTCAGCTTTGATTTGTAAATATAACATGTACTTTCATAAATAAAAAAAGTAAGGAATAGTAGGAATTTGAAAATATTGTAATATTTTCTCAATTCTAACTAATGTAACAATTATTTTTTATTATCATGAAGCAAGAATGAGGGCATATCGTTAGGAACAGTAGTGAGTAGGTGCCAAATTTTTTTTATTACGTATTCAAGTCATAGTCGGTGCTAGTGGGGAAGGATTATGATGTCCGCTCGGCTCTACTGAATGTTTTTCGGGATACCTCGTCGATTACAATACGTAGACATAATACGGAGTTTGACGGAAATGTCCGATAAGTTACGATGCACCAGCACTGGTTAAACACAAACCATTGGCAACTCTAAATGGGCCTTCAAGCATTTTTAATTTACACACATGCGTTCGCCATCATTTTTGTCTTGCCGGAAAGAGTCAAATTATCAAAAAATAATCTCCCCTTGATCATCAAGCCAGCACCTGTTTGATATATACAGGTATAATATATAGTAATGGTGCTGCTTGGATTCCAAGGGACAGATTTTTATGACCTTTATTGGTATGACAAATGTTGGGAAATTTTGTGTTTCGTTTTGGATTATTCTGTTTCCCTTTAAATGATTCATTTTAAACAGTAAATATTTTTTTGTGACAATTTACGCCGCGAAATTGATTAGTCGCATACAGAACAAGACAAACATTCGACAAAATTTAATGGAAAACAATTTTAATTTTTCATTAATACATGAAATTTTTTTCGTTTTGCCTTTTTAGGCAAATTTCAAATTTGATTTCCAACCCCCCAAACACTGCATGAACAGGGTTTTGGCGGATATACTTTTATGCTGTGTTAATTCAACAATGCTGACTCCCTGAAAAAATTTAAAAAGTAAGGTTTCTGAAAGTAAATATCCCTTTGTTTTTAAATTTTTTGGAATTTTGGTAACAAAAAACTTTGTTACATTAGAATTTTTCTACATGTATTTATTAGTACCAATGGTTTGTATTTTCACCAGAATTCACAGACGTTTAGCTGATATGCTTGTCCAATTAATATTGTGCCCGGTTAACATCATCCATTGATTTTTAAGATTATACTTCATCCAAAACTAGTTTTACATGTTTAACAACTGTATTCTACACCTGGTTGTTTCATATAGCACCTCGTTTCCTATATATATCACCTCGTTTCTTAAATATATTACACTCTTGCCCTACAAATAATATTCCTTTCCTACATATAGCATCTCCTTTCCTATATATAGCACCTCCTTTCCTATATATAGCACATCGCTTCTAATGTATTACACTTTTGCTTTACATATAACACTCATTTTCTACATAAAACACATATGAGCCGTGCCATGACAAAACCATCATAATGGGTTTGCGACCAGCATGGATCCAGACCAGCCTGCGCATCCGCGCAGTCTGATCAGGATCCATGCTCTTCGCTTACCAACCATATTACAAGTAGAGAAACTGATAGCGAACAGCATGGATCCTGATCAGACTGCGCCGATGCGCAGGCTGGTCTGGATCCATGCTGGTCGCAAACGCACTGTGTTGGTTTTGTCATGGCGCGGCTCATATAACGCTCATTTTCTACATAAAACACTAATTTCCTACATATGGTAATCGTTTCCTACATATTGCAATCGAGTTCTACATACCATAGTCGTTTTCTACACATATCACATTTTCCTACATATAAGATCTTGTGTCAATATTAACAATCGTGTACAACATAATTATTGACTCTCGTGCCCTACATTAGTATATGGGACTGCAAGAAAATCAGATATTCAAATGCTAGATACCATACACCACCAGGGTTAACGTTTAGCTTTAGGTGTTTTTCGCACTTCACCTGTAGAAAGTCTATATGCGGAAACTTGGGAAACATCGCTTCATCTTCGTCGGAAAAAGCTTTCACTTCAACTAGATTTATATCTAATAGCAAAAATCCAGATAAAAAATTTTTTTTTCAAACCAAGTTATAATGAAAAAAATGTTAACAAACCAAAGGAAATTAAACCATTAGGCATTCGTTTAAAAGATGATTTAGATAACTTAAAATTAATCCAGACAGTATCCTTCAAAATGACGATGAGATATTCCACCTTGGACTTATAATTCCCCGAAAATAAATATTAACCTTTGAAATATAAAAAAGTCATCAAATTCACCTGAACATTTCAAAGAGAAGTTCTAGGCAATTAAGTGTGTAAGAAACCATGGAAGATTTTGTGATGCATTATTTAATATCTTTTACGCGTTTTCAAAAGAAAGGTTGCAAAGTAGTGCGGCTACTGTGTTTGAAAATAATTTACATCTAGTATAGGTTACCAGACAATGCATCAATGTTTTACTGCTAAAGCAAAAGCTATAGATTTAGCATTGTCATACATAGTACAGCATACCCATGGTAAATTTGTGATATTTTCTGACTCGCTTTCTGTTTTAATATCCATTAAAAAAAATCAAAAAAATCTGACAATATCACGATAAGGAAACTTCTTTTACGTTTTCATGATATACTTAAAACAAAATCTGTTAAATTATATTGGATTCCAAGTCAAATAGGTATACGAGGAAATGAAAAAGTAGATGCTTTAACTAAACAATCATAAATTTTCAAAACACTGACTTATTTTTACCTGCTTGTGATTTTAGACCGGCTATAAATATACTTGTATCATCTAAATGGAAAGCAAAATGGGACAATGCCGTTTTTAATAATTTCACGATATAAACCCATCTCTTGATGTGTCACCATCTCTATCTCTGTCAAACGTTTATTCTTTGATGCCGAATTGGACCACTAAAATTACCCACTCTTAGCTCCTCACGAATGACAATACCCCTTTCTGTGTAGCTTGTAATGAAAATTTTACTGTTAAGCATTTTCTTCTTGATTGCCATGCTTTTTCACTGGCCCGTAATAGATTTTATTGTGTAAATTCACTCTTTAATGCAATTCCATCAAAAGACATCATTGATTATTTGAAAGAGATAAACTTGTGTTCTAGAATCTGATTGGCTCATTTTTATTGTCATTTACATAGTTTAACATAACATTTTAAGCCTATTATAGCAATTGGCACGATATGGCCAGTTATGTGTTGACGTGCCGTAAAAATCCAAACAAACAAACATTCAGTACATGTATTTGGATCCTACATAAAACACTTGTGTTCTATATATATCTCTCGTTTCCTACACATGACGCTTGTTTCCTGCATAAAAACCCTTAACTATATGTAACGTTCTGACATATAACTTGTGTCCTACGTGCAACTTGAGTTTACTACATGCGAGTTTAACTCTCGTTTCCTACATACGATGTATAACTCTTGTTTCCTAGTAAACCATCCGCTTCTTACATACGGTATAACTTGTGTCCTACATATATCTTTCTTTTCTACATGTGATCCTTCAGATAACACTCGTTTTCTACATAAAACTTTTGTCTCCTACCTTAAATCTTACTTAATTTATAAATTGAACACGTTCATCTTAGATATATATCTCGTTTTCTACATATGACACTCTTGTCAATCATTTAATGTTCGTATTCTACACACGCGTGTCCGTCATATTACATTCGTGTCTGTCATATTTTACTAGTTTTCTATATAAAATACTCGTTTTGGACATGTAACCCCCTTTTCCTGCATGTAATATAACCGTTTCTTACACATAACTTTTATATTTCATATAACACTTTTGTCGAACATAAAACACTTGTTTCCTGCACAACATATTTACACGTGATTGGTCTTTAAGTGACAGTTGTATCTTATAAAGGAACCCATCACAGTTCGCTGGAAGGGCTGGACAGACGACAAGTATGGTTCACAAATGTGGATGTACTATCTGGAGCTTCACAAACTTGAGGTAAAAGATGCTACACTAGAACTCACTGAACGAAACCCTATCAAACCTATGGCCAGAAATCAAACGTTGCACATGGGTAACATGTCACACTACCAGACGTTTACTCCTCTGGAACCAGGAATGTATAGGTACGTTCTAATTTGTTCACCACCGAACACAGTTAACCATATAGGAATCAGGTTTTTGTTTTACCATACTCTGATGGCTGGTAGCTTCCATTTTAAAGCTGCAAGAAATTTGACTTTAAAATATCACAGGCAACTTTTAAATCTGTGAGATTGTTTGTCGAAAGTTTTCTGTCACACTTCTGTCATAAAAAATTTCTGTCTACATAGTAGACTAAGCCATGCAAACATATACATACTTTATGTAGCCGATTGCGGCCATTATAATCCGATATATTTTGTTTTAATGCATACCTTGTGAAAAGTGAGTTTGTGCATTAACTTTTCATACCGGGAAATGTTTCTGCGCAAAAAGCAGCAGCTAAACATTGTTATTATTCGCCGCAATGTTTTGAGCCAATTTTGATGAACAAAACGTCGCGGCCTATATTTTTCCCCTCGATTTTTTGTAGAATTTTTAAATCACTGGGAAAAAAAATGTCATGTTATTTCCTTCCTGTTCCTCGACTTTTTATAGACGAACGAGGGATGAAATGTATAGTCAAAGCATTGGCGCTACCAGCCACTAGTGTTAAAATGTTCCTTGCTCTTTTCAACAAAAATGTTCCTTGCTCTTTTCAACAAAAATGTTCCTTGCTCTTTCCAATAAAACTGTTTCTCGCTCTTTCAAACAACTGTTATAACATATCGAGGTTTATACGTTCATTGACAAAAAACAATAAAAAACTAGTGCAAATTTAATATTGAAATGAAATATTTTGAGTACTCATTTAATATTGAAATGAAATATTTTCAGTATCTTATTGGAAGTCAGGGATATTGCCAACAATTCACGGATAGCTCGACGGTTTGTCCTGTATGACAAAGTGTCAGACGTAGAGTTGAATCAGGAAAGTCCAAACGGATTGCACGTGTCTTCTGCTCAAAACCACACAGGCTTCAAATGGCAGTCTGCAGGAAGTGAAGGTAGTGATATCAGTTTATATGTACTTAGATATTGAATATACGTATATCACCCAAGGAGGGAGTAATTAAATGTTATCTTGAATATTTTCACCAGAGACGTTAAAATAGACATTTGTATTTATATGTCTTTAATTTTCACTAAATGGGACAAAATGTTGAGCAGTTCACAATCTTGTCATTCTACCATACAAGAAAACATTATTAGATAACAAACCTCTTTATTTTATTTTGACATATAACTGTATTTAAAATCTTATGCCAAACTATATAGTTTTATGACAGAAACAACAATGACACTTTTTACCATTTTTAAAAGTTGTTTGTTTTCAAACTGTTTAATACTAATATTTGAAAGCCATTCCCCCCACCGTTTTTCCCCATTTTTCCAATATTTTTTTGTTAGGACAAAGTACGAACATTGTTGTCAACTGGGCTAGATATTTCATGAACAAAGCTCACGAGGATGGCCACTACAACAATGAAATACAGACTTTTAAACCACAATTTGAAGATTTAGAAGATGATGGTATTCTTTACACGAGAAAGTAAGTCAGTGTGTTAAACATTTATATGATTAATTATGGTGTGCATATTGTAATATTGTCATTGATGATGATGGAGGGGTAGGCTACCGGCTGTTAATGAGGAGGATTAAGTTTGTTAATGAGAGGCGTTCAGATCTCAAGAAAGGGTAAAATAGTCAAAGAGGGGTTAATGTTGTCAATGAGGGGTTCAGGTTGTCAAAGAGGGGTTAATGTTGTCAATGAGGGGTTAAGATTGTCAATGAGTGGTAAATGTTGTCAACAGGGGCTTCAGGTCATGATAATGGGGATAGGATAAGGTTGTCAATGAGGGGTTAAGGTTGTCAAGAAGGGCTTCAGGTTGTCAATGATTGAGATAAGGTCGTCGTTTAGGGGCTAAGGTGGTCAATGAGTGGTTAATGTCGTCAATACGGGGTTAAGGTTGTCAATGAGGGGTTAAGGTTGTCAGTGAGGGGTTAAGGTTGCCAGTGAGGGAATAAGGTCGACAATGAAATGTTACGGTTGTCAATGAGGAGTAAAGGTTGTCAAAGAGGGCTTCAGGTCGTCAATGATAGGGATACGGTTGTCAATGAGAGGTTAAGGTTGACAACAAGGGCTCAGGTCGTCAATGATAGGGATAATGTTGTCAATGAGAGGTTAAGGTTGTCAACAAGGGCTTCATGTCGTCAATGATAGGGATAATGTTGTCAATGAGAGGTTAAGGTTGTCAACAAGGGCTTCATGTCGTCAATGATAGGGATAAGGTTATCAATGAGAGGTTAAGGTTATCAACATAGGCTTCAGGTCGTCAATGATAGGGATAAGGTTGTCAATGAGAGGTTAAGGTTGTCAACAAGGGCCCAGGTCGTGAATGATAGGGATAATGTAGTCATTGAGGGGTTAAAGTTGTCAATGAGTGGTTCAGGTCATTATTGAGGGGTTAAGGTTGTCAATGTGGGGTTAAGGTTGTCAATGTGGGGTTAAGGTTGTCAATGAGGGTTAAGGTTGTCAATGTGGGGTTAAGGTCGACAATGAGGATTAAGGTTGTCAATGTGGGTTAAGGTCGACAATGAGGATTAAGGTTGTCAATGTGGGGTTAAGGTTGTCAATGAGGGTTAAGGTTGTCAATGAGGGTTAAGGTTGTCAATGAGGGTTAAGGTTGTCAGTGTGGGGTTAAGGTTATCAATGAGGATTAAGGTTGTCAATTGTGGGGTTATTGTTGTCAATGAGGGTTAAGGTTGTCAATGAGGGTTAAGGTTATCAATGAGGATTAAGGTTGTCAATGTGGGGTTAAGGTTGTCAATGTGGGTTAAGGTTGTCAGTGTGGATTAAGGTTGTCAATGAGGATTAAGGTTGTCAATGAGGGTTAAGGTTGTCAGTGTGGATTAAGGTTGTCAATGAGGATTAAGGTTATCAATGAGGGTTAAGGTTGTCAATGTGGGTTAAGGTTGTCAGTGTGGATTAAGGTTGTCAATGAGGATTAAGGTTATCAATGAGGGTTAAGGTTGTCAGTGTGGATTAAGGTTGTCAATGAGGATTAAGGTTATCAATGAGGGTTAAGGTTGTCAATGTGGGTTAAGGTTATCAATGAGGATTAAGGTTATCAATGAGGGTTAAGGTTGTCAATGAGGGTTAAGGTTGTCAGTGTGGATTAAGGTTGTCAATGAGGATTAAGGTTGTCAATGAGGGTTAAGGTTGTCAATGTGGGTTAAGGTTATCAATGAGGATTAAGGTTGTCAATGAGGGTTAAGGGTGTCAATGAGGATTAAGGTTGTCAATGAGGGTTAAGGTTGTCAATGAGGGTTAAGGTTATCAATGAGGATTAAGGTTGTCAATGTGGGGTTAAGGTTGTCAGTGTGGGTTACGATTGTCAATGAGGGTTAAGGTTGTCAATGAGGGTTAAGGTTGTCAATGTGGGTTAAGGTTATCAATGAGGGATTAAGGTTGTCAATGTGGGGTTAAGGTTGTCAATGAGGGTTAAGGTTGTCAATGAGGGTTAAGGTTATCAATGAGGATTAAGGTTGTCAATGTGGGGTTAAGGTTGTCAATGAGGATTAAGGTTATCAATGAGGGTTAAGGTTGTCAGTCTGGATTAAGGTTGTCAATGTGGGGTTAAGGTCGACAATGAGGATTAAGGTTGTCAGTGAGGGGATAAGGTCGTCAATGAATGTTACGATTGTCAATGTGGGGTTTTTTGTTAAGGTTGTCAATGTGGGGTTAAGGTTGTCAATGAGGGTTAAGGTTGTCAATGAGGGTTAAGGTTTGTCAATGTGGGTTAAGGTTGTCAATGAGGGTTAAGGTTGTCAATGAGGGTTACGATTGTCAATGAGGGTTAAGGTTGTCAATGAGGGTTAAGGTTGTCAATGTGGGGTTAAGGTTATCAATGAGGATTAAGGTTGTCAATGTGGGGTTAAGGTTGTCAATGAGGGTTAAGGTTTGTCAATGAGGGTTAAGGTTTATCAATGAGGATTAAGGTTGTCAATGTGGGGTTAAGGTTGTCAATGAGGATTAAGGTTATCAATGAGGGTTAAGGTTGTCAATGTGGGTTAAGGTTATCAAATGAGGATTAAGGTTATCAATGAGGGTTAAGGTTGTCAATGAGGGTTAAGGTTATCAGTGTGGGTTAAGGTTGTCAATGAGGGTTAAGGTTGTCAGTCTGGATTAAGGTTGTCAATGTGGGGTTAAGGTCGACAATGAGGATTAAGGTTGTCAGTGAGGGGATAAGGTCGTCAATGAAATGTTACGATTGTCAATGTGGGGTTAAGGTTGTCAATGTGGGGTTAAGGTTGTCAATGAGGGTTAAGGTTGTCAATGAGGGTTAAGGTTGTCAATGTGGGTTAAGGTTGTCAATGAGGGTACGATTGTCAATGTGGGTTAAGGTTGTCATGAGGATTAAGGTTATCAATGAGGGTTAAGGTTGTCAATGGGGTTAAGGTTGTCAATGAGGGTTAAGGTTGTCAATGAGGGTTAAGGTTTGTCAATGAGGGTTAAGGTTGTCAGTGAGGGGATAAGGTCGTCAATGAAATGTTACGATTGTCAATGTGGGGTTAAGGTTGTAAATGTGGGGTTAAGGTTGTCAATGAGGGTTAAGGTTGTCAATGTGGGGTTAAGGTCGACAATGAGGATTAAGGTTGTCAATGTGGGGTTAAGGTCGACAATGAGGATTAAGGTTGTCAATGGGGGGTTAAGGTTGTCAATGAGGGTTACGGTTGTCAATGAGGGTTAAGGTTGTCAATGTGGGGTTAAGGTTGTCAATGAGGGTTAAGGTTGTCAATGTGGGTTAAGGTTATCAATGAGGATTAAGGTTGTCAATGTGGGGTTAAGGTTGTCAATGAGGGGTTAAGGTTGTCAATGAGGGTTAAGGTTGTCAATGTGGGTTAAGGTTGTCAATGAGGGTTAAGGTTGTCAATGTGGGGTTAAGGTCGACAATGAGGATTAAGGTTGTCAATTAGGGTTTAAGATTGGTAATGAGGGGTTAAAGTCATCAATGAGGGTTAAGGTCGTCTATGAGGGGTTAAGGTAGTCAATGAGGTTTCATATTTTCAATGAGGAGAAAAGGTTGTCAACCAGTGTTTCATGCCATCAAAGAGGGTTTCTGGTCTTTAATGATGGGTCAGTTGTCAATGAGGAGTTAAGTTTGTTAGTGAGTGGTTAATGTTGTCAATGACGGATTAAAGGTTGTTAAGGAGGGGTTAAGGTCTTCAATGAGGGTATGATAGTCAACAGAGTGGTTCTTTTTAATAAAATTTGTGTTCAATTAAAATGTTTAATATTTATATTAAACAAGTAAAAAATGAAATCAGTAAATTTAGAAATGTTTCAAAAAGTTTAAGAAACAAAACATTTATTTTTGCTACATTTTTATTATTTGATTGTAAAGGGAGACAATATTTTGATTCTAAATAATAATGGGAAGTAAAACCCACCAAACATGTATTATTCTTTGGTATGTCTGTAAGAACTTGTAACAAGATGAACATTTATATCATATTTATAGGTTTATAAATGCATCACATGATGATATCATATTTGTAGGTTTGTAAATGCATCACTTGATGATATCATATTTGTAGGTTTGTAAATGCATCATATGATTATATCATATTTATAGGTTTGTAAATGCATCACTCAATGATATCATATTCATATGTTTGTAAATGCATCACTCGATGACATCATAATTAAAGGTTTGTAAATGTATCACTTGATAATATCATATTTGTAGGTTTGTAAATGCATCGTCTGATGATATCATATTTATAGGTTTATAAATGCATCACCCAATGATATCATATTCATATGTTTGTAAATGCATCATGCGATGACGTCCTATTTATAGGTTTGTAAATGTATCACTAGATGACATAATATTGATAGGTTTGTAAATGCATCACTCGATGACATCATATTTATAGGTTTGTAAATGCATCACTCAATGATATCATATCTATAGGTTTGTAAATTCATCATTTGATGACATCATATCTGTAGGTTTGTAAATGCATCACTCAATGATATCATATCTATAGGTTTGTAAATGCATCACTCGATGACATCATATTTATAGGTTTGTAAATGCATCACTCAATGATATCATATCTATAGGTTTGTAAATGCATCATTTGATGACATCATATTTATAGGTTTGTAAGTGCATCACTCGATGATATCCTATTTATAGGTTTGTAAATGCATCAAGTGATGATATCATATTTATAGGCTTGTAAATGCATCATCTGATGATATCCTATTGATAAGTGTGTAAATGCATCACTCGATGATATCATATTTATAGGTTTGAAAATGCATATTTCGATGATATCATATGTATAGGTTTGTAAATGCATCATTTGATGACATCATATTTGTAGGTTTGTATATGCATCACTCAATGATATCATATGTATAGGTCTGTGAATGCATCATTTGATGATATCATATTTATAGGTTTGTAAATGCATCAATCGATGATATCGTATTTATAGGTTTGTAAATGCATCACGCGATGATATCTTATTTGTAGGTTTGTAAATGCATCACTCGAGCATATCATATTAATAGGTTTGTAAATGCATCTCGATGACATCATATTTATAGGTTTGTAAATGCATCACTCGATGACATGGAAGGAGCGAGAACTCGTGATCCTATTGCTAACATTCACGGTATTGTGAAATTTGAATACCAGTATACCAGGGACATTGGTTCACAAATACCTGGAGCAGTCTGGACAAAAGTTGAACCAATCACCGAAACAACCACAATAAAAGAGCAGATGAGTAGCGGTAATGATAAATTCATATACAGTTTCCAGTTAACGATTACTTTAAATTTTATTGTATGAGCTCATAGATTTATTTTATAGAATAAGGATAAAAGATTGAATGGGAAATCTACTGCATTGCTTACCAACCATAGCCCAGGAACGTGACCACCGATTGTGTAGCATATTTCCGATCCTGTACTGGCTTTACATATTGTTTGTTTGACTAAAAAATGTCTTTTTACATCATCCAATAGTGTGGTTTTTAGAAAATATAAACTCAATTTATCAAAATCTGTTATTATGAAAAGCGGTCAAATTTTACAGTATATTTGCCAATTTCAAAAATAACAGATTGTGTTGAATTGACATTGTATTCTTTGAGGCCATACACTAGGGTAATACCAAAAGTTATCTAGATGTAGGAAAAACATTTTTTGAAAAGCCGTTACAGGATCGAAAATATGTGCCGCTATCTGTGGTTCCTTTTTCGAGTTCCTTTGACAGCAACATACATAATGGATTTGATTTCGTGCATGTTTGTCTGGTCACATTTAGAGGTCAGAGTTCAACAATCAAATACATTTTTCGTGGTTCGGTAAGCTAACAGTGACACGATATACATTATTTTAGTTTCAACAAAAAACTAAACTACTAGAATTATTTAATAAAGCAGTGATTAGATTTCTGATATCTTCGCCATAGGTATTTCTAGCATATGTGTTTATTACAAAAATATTTGGATTTTCGTTCAAGATATTTAAAACAAAACAGAACTGTTTTATATCTGTGTTTTTGTTACGTTTAAGGCGTAGATTGTTTTTATAATATTTTACGTTGATTACATATCAGAAAAAGATATTAACATACAAAATCAGAGATGTTACTATTTCAAGTCGGTCTGTATGTAGCTTTTTATTAATAATTGAGCCGTGTCATGACAAAACCAACATAGTGGTTTTGCGACCAGCATGGATCCAGACCAGCCTGCGCATCCGCGCTGTCTGATCAGTATTCATGCTGTTCGCTATCAGTTTCTCTACTTGCTTTAGGGTTTGTTAGCGAACAGCATGTATCCTGATCAGACTGCGCGGATGCGCAAGCTGGTCTGGATCCATGCTGGTCGCAAATCCATTATGTTGGTTTTGTCATGACACGGCTCATATATTATTCAGGTGACCAGTTAAAGATATGGGTTCGAGCTCAAGATGTCCTTGGCAACACAAAGATGGACTCGACCGTCGTGACTACAGACTTTACTGAACCCATTACTTCAAGTGCTGACGATAACACTACCACATATATTGTAGAAAATACTAACGTCAAACCTTTCAACTATTCAAGCAGGTATTTATGTATTTTGTTTAAATCCTTACGACGGGGGAAAACTTGCCCGATAAGTATGAAAAAAAATGACTAACATATTAATGCCGGGTCCTTAATGTTTTTCTTCAGGTCCTTTACTTGACCCGGCAAGTGCTGACAAATATTTAATATATTCAGCAAGTATGCAAGTATAAATATAGTCTATACTATTTTTTTCATCGCTGTACCATATAAAAGAAAAACAAAATAAATTTAAATGAATTTGTTTTAACTGATAATTACAAGAAACATAATGTTTTCAATCAATATTTTCAAAACTAATTCGTTATTATATTTATATCTTAGTTTTCTTCGTATATTGCATAATATGTAAAAAAATCAAGTTTCATTATTTAACTTAGCATGTTCCTATATTTAACTTAAATAGCGTGTTTTTTAATTAAATGTGCTCCTTTTTATATGCCCGAAAGGGCATATTATGTTATACCCCCTGGCGTCCGTCTGTCTGTCTGTCCGTCCGTCCGTCCGTCTGTCCGTCCGTCCGTCCGTCCGTACGTCCGTCCGTTAGCAATTGGTTTCCGGAGCATAACTTAAGTTCCATTTGGCCCACAATGTTCAAACTTCATAGGATGATTGCCCATATTGGGTAGAAGACCCCTATTGATTTTGGGGTCAAAAGGTCAAAGGTCAAGGTCACTATGACCTTAAAACTGAAAACAGTTTCCGGAGCATAACTTAAGTTCCAATTGACCCACAATGTTCAAACTTCATAGGATGATTGTCCATATTAGGTAGAAGACCCCTATTGATTTTAGGTCACAAGGTCAAAGGTCAAGGTCACTATGACCTTAAAACTGAAAACAGTTTCCGGAGCATAGCTTAAGTTCCATTCAACCCACAATGTTCAAACTTCATAGGATGATTGTCCATATTAGGTAGAAAACCCCTATTGATTTTGGGGTCAAAAGGTCAAAGGTCAAGGTCACTATGACCTTAAAACTGAAAACAGTTTCCGGAGCATAACTTGAGTTCCATTCGACCCACAATGTTCAAACTTCATAGGATGATTGTCCATATTGGGTAGAAGACCCCTATTGATTTTGGGGTCAAAAGGTCAAGGGTTAAGGTCACTATATCCTTAAAACTGAAAACAGTTTCTGGAGCATAACTTAAGTTCCATTTGGCCCACAATATTCAAACTTCATAGGATGATTGTCCATATTGGGCAAAAGACCCCTATTGATTTTGGGGTCACTAGGTCAAAGGTCAAGGTCACAATTACCTTAAAACCAAAAACAGTTTCCGGAGCATAACGTAAGTTCCATTTGGCCCACAATATTCAAACTACATAGGATGATTATCCATATTGGGTAGAAGACCCCTATTGATTTTGGGGTCACAAGGTCAAAGTCACTTTTACCTTAATACTGAAAACAGTTTCTAGAGCATAATTAAAGTTCCAATTGGCCCACAATATTCAAACTTCTTAGGATGATTGTCCATATAAGGAAGAAGACCCCTATTGATTTTGGGGTCACAAGGTCAAAGGTTAAGGTCATTATTAATAACTTAAGTATTAATCAACCTACAGCTGTAAATTTTTATCGGATGAACAGTGAATTCCATGTCTTACAAATGCTTCATCCTTACTAAAAAAAAACACTTTCGGGCATATAATGCTCCGCCTAGCGGTGCTCTTGTTTTAACTTAGCATGTTCCTTTTTTTTTACTAAGCGTATTCCTATATTTAACTTAGCGTATTCCTATATTTAACTTAGCGTGTTCCTATATTTTACTTAACATATTCTTATATTTAACTTAGCATGTTTCTATATTTAACTTAGCGTGTACCTAGAAGCGTATGATACAGAAAGTGGCGTTCGTGATATAGGTGTCAACATTACAATCAAAATGCAAGGTGTGTCCAACATTTATGTCAGTAAAATGGCCAAGGCAAACACAGACGATGTAAGTATTGCTTTCTTTTCCTTCCTTCCTTCATTCTTTCTTTCTTTCTTTCCTTCCTTCCTTTCAGTCCTTGATAAACAATATTAATTCATATTCACGTACTTATTTATATCTTTAACACTTACTGTTTTACACAATGAGAGTAAGTCATGCAAGAGGTCAGCTTTCTGGAAGTAGTTACCAGAAATCCAACAATGTTGAAGTTGAATAAGATCCTCGTCACTTGTGGGATTTGAACCCATAACAACCCGATTAAGAGCCCAGTGCTATATTTCTCAAGGTGGTCCAGCTCAACTTTGTAAAATATTTCTTAGACTTTTGTTGTCACTCTGTGTATATTGACCCTTTATAATACTTCATGTTGCAATGTCGCTTTTCACTGGATAATTGTGACGTTTAGAAAGATTTATATACACGGCTGGTGTCAATTTGTGGAAAAAATCTCTTTTTTTTTTCTCAAAAAATATGCTTGGTGTACTGTAATTTTTTTTTTTTTTGGACAGGCTATATATCGAGCCTCTGATTATATTTCCAAAAAACTGTTTATGTAGGGCCATATAACCTGTCAAAAATCTTGTTAACTTATATCCTGAAATCGTCTGATCTCCTCAAAGATGTTCATAGCCTTAATGCATTGTACATAAAAAAAATGAAATGCAAATATTTTCTTTGTTTTCATCTTCACAGTTACATATTTGTTTTTATGTCAAAACTTTTTGATTGCAAGACGAATTTAAATCAAGGGAAGTAAGTAATAAACGTTGTTGATGTTCAAATATCTAAAGATTTACTTCCCCTTCAGAAAAGACACCCGGACAGAGATAGTGAGTGCGTGACGTCAAGAGACAAGACAACCTGCTTTTTAAAGAAGCAAACTGTGATTATAGACAATTGTTGGCTCACTGTACCAAACCAGGCGTTACTGCCGTCTGCTAGTGCGATAATAGATGTTATTGCCTATAACCAAGCCATGCTCGCCAGCAGCGTCAGATTTGAGGTGATTTATGATTTATTTATTCTAAATGGAAGAATAGACAATGATAAAAGTTCACCCAGCCCAACTTGCAAAGGTGTTAGTACAACCAAAGAACAAACACAGGACCCATAAAGAAAATAAATGGCAACCATGGTTTAATACAACATGCAAACAAATGAGAAACAAATATCATATAGCAAGAAAAATCTATAATAGAAACAAAACAGAAATAAATAAAAATAATCTAAAAGTAATAAGTAAAGAATACAAACAAAATATCAATATTGCACACAAAGAACACAAAAATAAAAGAATTGAGAAACTTAGAAATGCCAAAAGTACAAGCCAAAGAGAATACTGGAAAATAATTAAATCTATTGATCAATCTAAAAATGCAACTAAGGCTACTCTTCATGACCTATATGATTTTTTCAAAAAGACAAATGAAGGAGAAAACATAGAAGATAATTCAATAGATTCAGAAACTGTTATAGAAGTAAATGAAGAAATAAATACAGAAATCACTGATGAGGAAATAAAAAAAGCAGTTAAACTACTCAAAAATAATAAAAGTCCAGGATGTGACTATATTTTAAATGAACACATTAAGTCAACTATTGATACAATGCTTCCAATTTATAACAAATTATTTAACCTTGTTTTTGACTCTGGATTAATACCATCCAGCTGGACAAAAGGTGTAATATTACCCATTTATAAAAATAAGGGAAATGCCACTCAGCCTGAAAATTATAGACCAATCACTTTATTAAGTTGCTTAGGTAAATTATTTACTGCCATATTAAACAATAGAATTACAAATTACACTGAAGACCATAACATTATAACTAAATGCCAAGCAGGATTCCGCAAAAATTACTCAACTACAGATAATTTATTTATATATCAATCTTTAATTGATATTCTAAGAACACAAAAGAAAAAAATATACTGTGCTTTTATTGATTTTAAACAAGCATTTGATACTGTCTGGCGTCAAGGACTATGGAATAAACTCATTAAATACAATGTAAATGGCAAATTTTTAAAAATAGTCAAAAGTATGTATGAAAACATTAAATCATGTGTAAAAACTTCCCAAGGTGTGTCTGACTTTTTCCCAAGTCTAATCGGAGTAAGACAAGGCGAAAATTTGTCGCCGATACTATTTTCACTTTATTTAAATGACCTTGAAACTTTTCTATCAGATAATAATGCAAATGGAATAATCTTCAGCATCTCTGAACTTAACCTTTCAATTTATCTCAAACTCTTTGTTATTCTATATGCTGATGACACAGTGTTATTAAGTGATTCACAACAAGGCCTACAAAAAGAGCTAGAACTATTCGAACAATACTGTACAAAATGGAAACTTACAGTCAACACGCTAAAAACTAAAATAATCATTTTTGGATCAAGAATTGTAAATAACCTTCCAATCTTTACTTACGGGAATAAAGAAATAGAAATTGTAAATGAATACAAATACTTAGGACTCTATTTATCAAAAACCTGCAGCTATAAAAAAACCAAAGATCACATTGCTAAACAGGCAACAAAGGCCATGTATATGTTATTAAAGAAAATAAGACATATTGACTTGCCTCTAGATCTACAAGTTGATATATATAAAAAAACAATCCAACCTATGCTTTTATATGGGAGTGAGCTTTATGGCTACAGTAACATGACATGTCTTGAAAGAGTACAACTCAAGTTTTTCAAACACATCTTAAATTTAAAAAGGTCAACGCCTTCCTATATGATTTACAGTGAATTAGGTATAATGCCGCTTAAAGAAGAAGCCAAAATAAGAATGATATCTTTCTGGTGTAGAATAAATAATAACAATAACAATATAAATAATAACAATAATAATAACGGTAGTAGTAATAATAACAATGGTATTAACAACACCAATAATGAAAATACCAATGATAATAATAACACCAATGATAACAATCCCAATGATAATAATAACACTGATAATAACAATCCCAATGATAATAATAACACTGAGAATAACAATCCCAATGATAATTATAACACTGATAATGATAACAACCATAATTATAATCAAATCACACATACAGATAATAACAAACTGGCAAACATAATGTGTCATATTTTAACTGCATTAAATAGGCAAAGAAAATGTCAAATCAAAATGGTTAGACTTTATTTATAATCTGATTCAAACAAATGGATTCAGTAATGTATTGATAAACCAAAGTGAACTGAATCTTAAATGGTTTTCACTTGCTTTTAAAAGAAATATTAAAGACCAATTTATCCAAACATGGAGCTCAACAGTTAATAATTCAACTAACTTCATGTACAAGATAATTAAACATGATACAAACATGAATAAATATTTCACAAAATTACCAAATTATTATGGAAAACTGTTAACAGCATTTAGAACAAGGAATCATAAATGTCCAGTTGAGGTTGGACGTTACCATAACATACCATTAAATGAAAGAACCTGTTATTTATGCAATCAAGGTTTAGGTGATGAATATCACTACATCCTTGAATGTAAACACTTTCAAGAATCACGAAAAACACTGATCAAACCTTACTACTACAAACAACACAGCATACTTAAATTTGACAAGTTATTCAATTCAGAAAACAAAAAAGAACTAATTAATTTATGTAAATTTGTACAAATTATAATTAAAAATGTTAAAGCCCAATATTAAATGATTGTACATGAAATGTTTTTGGAAATTTATTAGTAAAACAATTAACATATAAGCTAGATGAAGATCTATGTACTATATATTTTATCAATTAATTTCCTATGTAATTTGGTAAAATGCTCAGTGTAAATGCTAAATTTTATAAACTTAAGCAATGTTGGTGAAAATATCAATTGTTTTTCATATGTATGATATCATGTTTAATAATATTCTTTTCTTTTTTTCTTTTGAAATCAATTGTTAACAACAGTTAGATCTACATCATCTACTATGAATTTAATTAATGCATGTTAACAATTTAAAATTGGTAAATTTCATGTTTATTATTTGACTGTATGATATCATGTGTAATAATATTCTTTTTTTTTTTTTAAATCAATAACAATAGTTACATTATTCACTATGAATTGAATCAATTCATGTTACCATCTAAACATTGGTAAATTTCATGTTTTTTTATATGTATGATATCATGTTTAATAATATTTTATTGTTCGAAATCAGTAACAACAGGTACACTATTCACAATGGATTGAGTCAATGCATGTTAGACATTTAATTTTATTGGTAAATTTCATGTAAACTGCAACTGCCTGTTAAAATTTTTATTTAATACTGTACATATTTGTATATATAGTTTATTGCTATCATAATTTATTATTTTGATGCTCTGAAAATTTGATACTTGATATTAAGAAATTAAGGTTGCCATCAGACTGTACAAAGAACAATGATTGAGTACATACTGTACTGTAGTAATATCTTCATTTATTTATTAATGAGGACAAGTCTACAGATCTATTTTCTTGTCTTTTTTTCTTTTTGTAAAATAATGACCCATCCATATGATCCAGTCAGTTATATAAATATTTGAAAACTTTATATGTAAATTAATGAATAATAGATTCTACTTTGAAATTTGTAAAGAGGACAATACTTATTTAAAAGCATGAATGAAGATGATAATAGTGTATACCAGTAACAGATATATCTTCTGTATTTCCTTCATATAGTTGTTTATTTTTAAGTTACTTAATTACCGGCTTAATTGAACCTGACTGACCTTAATTAAACTGTAATTAAGAAGACAGTACAGAAAAGAAGACCTGTAGCGAGGCAAAGCCCTTAATATTTCAATTTCGTTTAAGGGCTGGCCAAACGCACACCGTTTATGACAAATGAGGGATATTTGAAATATTTAAATTCCCACCCTTATCAGATAATTCACAGCAATTATAAATGCATAAGGGGCCGGGGAAATCCCCTTTAATTCTTATGTTTACAAAATAAAACCAATATTACTCACCCTTCCCGTCACATTCGTAAATTTTGCAGCCTTACATCGCTAGAAATCAGTAACCAGATAATAATCCAATATCAACAGAGATTTATTTCTTCTCTTTTACTTTTTTGCAGGTTTATTAAGTCAATTTTTTTGCCACACAAACGAAAATCATCACAGCACTATATTTTATATTGAAACTATACCGCGTGCAGACACAAATACACCTACTGACCCAATGACATATTTTTGTGTAAAATTACAGAAGTTTATTAACGGCACAGTAGAAAGCGCGTGCCAACAGGTGACAATCACAATACAATATAATTCAGATTAAGAAAAGGTTAAAGTTGACAGATGATATTTGTAAACAATTTAGTCTAGACATTTTGATTCAGTACTTGTCTTTCTTTTAATATACAAAAGAAATTTAGTTGCGATTCATAATTCATATTTTTTGAATGAATGTTGCCCTCTGTAGACATGGTTTTTATATATATTTAGGATTCTTTTTCTCGTGTTTATGTATTTGTATGCATACTGAGATAATCAAATAAACCTGAAACTATTGAAACTATAGGTATACATGTATTCAAATTAAATGTGATAAACATGTTTTCTCCTATTGACTAAAATGATAATTACAATGTTCTTGGACTTGTTTGAATTTAGTTCTCTTATGATAGATAGGCCTACCATCATATGGAGCGCTTTTCTAATTAACCGGGGTTCGAGACTCAGTCACATTGTGTCTTTGTGTAAATTTTTTTTTTTTAAAAGGAGAAAGGTTTCAATAGGACTTTATACAATATGTAAACATTGATAATTTTATGATAATTCAGTGATAATTCCATAAGGATTTTAGAATACATGAGAGGCCGGTATATTGCCATTTCACAATTATCTAGGCTGCCGTAAAGGAGAGAAACGTGAAAATTGATAAACTGGTTCATCGCCAGGGTGAAGCTGAAAAATGGACAACTTATTATAGTTTGTTTGCTTGTTTGTTTCATTATTTTACCGGCCTGTTTCCCCAACAGTATTTTAAGTCCTTTTATAGGCGGGTAGTTTCCTAACCGGATTGGGGTTCCTGGAGAGTTACACCAGTACTTAGACTAATTTTCCTTTTCGCGGCTTAAACTCACCAAAGCATTCCCGGGGATCGAAACCCACGCCAAAAAGGGAGGTTTAACTGGATTAGAAGTCATCGACTCTAACCCCTCGACTAGGGAGGGGTAAATTTTATTATAGAATTACCAATTTCGAAATTAAAACGGCGGGTTTACGAATTTTCTTTAGTCACTTTGTTTTCTTCGTTGTAATTAACATAGAAGTATAGAGGGCCTCTTTTGGGCGCCAAAAGACTGGGCACAAAAACGCCCCTATTATTTCTTTCTAATACAATTTCTAAAGAAAATTATCAATATATGCCCTTACCGGATCTTATAATTTTTTCAAGATTCCCAGGGCAATAACAGAGCGTTAGATGGTCTTGTAAGCTGTAAGTTCTTTTTTAGTTTATGATTTTGTTTTTTATATTTTTTTTATTTCTATATTTTCTTTTTCAATTGCAAACTGTATTATCCATCTTTCCGAAATATTGTCAGTGACTCAGACAGGCTAAACTTCAAGGTCAAGAGGCCTCTGGGTTTGACCTGTGAAAATTCCAAGATGACCTCATCTGACACGTCAAGTCAGATTGTGCGTCAAGTCAGATTGTGCGTCATATTTGATAGAATTTTCTCCTGCGTCTTGAATATTTCATTTTCTCAAAAAAAGTTATGGCAGAAATTGCTTAAATTATATACAATTAACCACAGACACTCGGCGTTTTGAGCTCAAAACGCCTTTAAAATCCAAATAAAATGCATATTGTGTCAATCCCAGCACATGTACTGATCATATATATCAATAAAACTTAATATAAGCCGTTTTATTATATATTTAATTCATATTTTCAACATCTATAATAAATATACAAGATAAAAATGTTCGCCGGAAAAAATCTGCACCCCTCCCGTCATAATCACCATGTATTTTATTCCATTTCCAATATTTTTTCACATAATCCTTTGGCCCATCGACACAGAAGATTTAATTTCTTCACGATAATGGTCAATTTTAAAACTTCAACAGTAATATAAACAACGCAACAGCCGAAATAAACATCAAGATTATCGCCGTTTTCCTCCATTGACAAAATCTTTCGATAAATTCAAACGTGGCCCCAGCTTTGCCGTGTGCCAAATGCGCAGCTCTTTTAAGTTTGGGAACCAACATAATCGGATGGCTTCGTTCATAGCCGACTGGTTTCCATCTTCAAAAAAAAACAGAACGAAGCCATTTCGACAAATATGTATTTTATTTGGATTTTAAAGGCGTTTTGAGCTCCAAACCCCAAGTGTCTGTGCATTTAACGAAGGAATTGGATGTGTATCTAAAAATGAATGTCTTGTTCAAGCCATATTCTACACTCTTTATGGAATTTCTTTAAAAATTTAATATTTTTTATCATTTTTTTCATTTTTTATTTTAAATACTTTTGTTTGTTTTGATTTTATAGATAATGGACCTGAGTCCGCTCGAGTGGAAAACGTGAAAACCGGAAGTTTCCGAATAGTTTGGGACTTTCCGACAAATTTGTCCTGCTATGCTATACAAACTTCAATTATTATAGTGCTGTTCAAGAAGGTAAGAATATGTGTTTATTGTTGATACCATTAGCTAGAAAGGAGGAGATGATATTTATATCTTCATATAAAATGGATTTTATACTTCTACGGTACTAACTACTCTTAAACAGGAGGAGTTTCATATCCATACAATTAGACCAGAGGAGCTAAATATTGAAGCAATTTAAAAGGTGGAGTTTCATATTTATGCAATTTAAATGGCGGAGTCTTATTATGAATACCATTAAATAGGAGTAGTTTCATTGCAATTTATCAAATATGATTAGTTAAATATGTTTTCCTGAGAATTCTTACTATTGTTTCAAATGGGCTGACCACGGCCACTTTGCTCTTACAGTTGCTGCTGGTCGTATAGTTATTCAGAATATCTTAACATTATTTTGCAGGCATCAAACGGGAATATTGAATTAGAAACCCATGTTATTCCTGGTTCAAACACATATTTTGATGTAGTCAACCTAGACGCTGATACAGAATATTTACTTGATTTCATAACACAAATAGGTGATAAGAAAAATCCACCAATGAAGCTTACTGCCAGGACGTGTAAGTATATAAACAAATACATCCAAAGTTAAACACGGGCCTACATGGCCCTTGGCTTTCAATCAATGATCCTTCACCAATGTGGTTTGGGTTCGAATCCCGCCAGAAACTTTGGATGTTTCTACCTAGCCAGCTCAAGGAAGATCAATAGCTGTTCAGAAATAAAGCGTGGTGGAGGACTCCACCAAGAAAGCCAGAGAGTCGCCATATGACATTAACAGTGTCGGAGTGACGTAAAAACCCGAGAAAAAAGCAATATTTTCAAAGTCGTTTAAAAAAATTAATAATAAAAAACAATGTCTTTTTAAAATACTTTTGAATTTTTAAATTCATCTGAAAAGAGCAAATAAAATTTTTCTTTTTTATTTTAAGATACAGTTTACATTTTTTGAAATTTTTTTTACTTTAAGTTTATATTAATACAGTGTATTATATCATATAAAACAGACATGCATATTTGCAACTGAACATTATGTATTTTCAAAAAAAATGTAAATTTGTCAAATTGTGTCTGATTTCCATAAAATCAGTCTCAAAATGCACGTTTGTCTATTGTTTAAGAAATTTTACTATATGAATTTAAATCAAACAACAAATACGACTGCTTTAAAAAAAATCTAACCCCTACCCTGCCTGGCGTAATAACAATTTGGAATTTGATATAAGATGCGCCGAATTTTCGACTTTTTATATCGTAAATCTCACTAGATGTTTATAAATGATCATAGAATGTGCGTTAGTACATTATCCTCACATTAGAGTATAAAATTTTATTATAAAACAAGACTTTGAATGGCAAAATTAAAATAATTATACCGCCTCACCTGTAATTTGCAGGAATAAATACATTTGTAGGTATGCAACGTCCAAATTTAGCCACAAAATAAGCCAAATCTTATTCTATTTTTTAATTTTAGTCTTAAAATGTGCACATGAACAATCTCTTGACATTGTTGTAAGAAAATTAATATTCAAAACGATGTGCATTGCGTTTATTTAGAAAGTTCACCTCTATACGGATTTTGTGGACCAATTCATAAAATTATGAAAATTCAACGTTGAAGTTTTGCTTCCAAAATGGTCAAATTTTTGTAGATTTCATTACAATTAGTCTCAAAATGCACGTTTGTATATTCTTTCAGGAATCTTATATTAAGATTTTAACTCCAACAGCAAATACGGTAGCTTTTCAAAGAAATATAACCCCTTACCCAGCTTTGTGTAAGATAAATTTGGAATTCAGAAACATTGCGCCGAATATTGCCTCTAAATAACGTAAATACCACTCGAGTTTTACATACACGATCGTAGAATGTGCGTTATGACACTGTTGTCACATTTAAATATAAAATTTTATTTTAAAACAGGATTTTACATGGCAAAATTAAAATAATCTTACCGCCGCACCTGTAATTTGCCGGTATAATTACATTTTCAGGTATGCAACGTCCAAATTAAGCTTCTAAATCAGTGACATCTTATTCTATTTTTTAAATAATAGTCTTGAATTGTACATTTGATTAACTGCTTGAGAATGTTGTAAGAAAATCAATATTATAAACGATGAGCATTGCAAAGTTCACCCCTCATTCCGGCAAAGGCAGACCAATTCATGAAATTTAGAAAATTTATCGTCAAACTTTTGCTTCCAAATTGGTCAAATTTTGGTCGATTTAAATGACATTAGTATCCAAATGCATGTCGATGTATTGATTAAGAAACTGAGTAATAAGATTTTAAATACACTTCTAAATACGGCTGCTTTTTAAAGAAATCTAACCCCTACCCGGCTTTGCGTAAGATCAATTTTTGGAATTTCAGATCAAATGCGCCAAATTTTTGCCTCTGAAAAACGTAAATCTTACTAGATTTTTACATAAATGATCATAGATTTTGGAAGACCTGTAATTTGCCGGTATAATTACATTTACAGATATGCACTGTTCAATTTTAGCTTCTAAATCAGTGAAATCTTATTCTATTTATTTAATAATGGTCTTTAAATGTACACATGAACAAACTCTTGATAATGTTGTACAAAACTTTATATTCAAAACGTTGGGCATTGCGTATATTTAAAAAATTCACCCCGATTTCCGGATTTGGCGGACCAACTCATTAAATTTAGAAAATTTAATGTCGAACTTTTTCTTCCAAATTGGTTAAATTATGGTCGATTTCAATGAAATAAGTATCAAAATGCGCGGCTATGTATTGATTAAGTAATTGTATAATAAGATTTTAAATCCAACATTTAAAGAAATATAAAACCTTACCCTGTTTTGTGTAAGATCAATTTGGAATTAAATGCGCCGAAATTTGCCACTCGATTGTTACATACATGATCGTAGATTGTGCGTTAAGACACAGTTGTCACACGTAAACATGAAATTTTATTTTGAAACAAGACTTTAAATGGCAAAATGAAAATAATCTTACCGCCTCACCTCTAATTTGCATGTGTAATTACATTTTCAGGTATGCAACGTTCAAATTTAGCTTCTAATTCAGTGAAATCTTATGTTATTTATTTGATAATAGTCTTGAAATTTCCACATGAACAATGTCTTGAGAATGTTGTAAAAAAATTATTATAAGAGATAATGTGCATTGTTCACCCCTATCCGGATTTGGCGAACTAATTCATAAAACTTTGAAAATTTAACGTCAAACTTTTGCTTCCAAATTGGTAAAATTTGGTCGATTTAGATGAAATAAGTATCAAAATGCACTTCTATGTATTGATGAAGGAATTGTATAATAACATTTTTAAATCCAACGCCAAAAACTTTTGAGTTTCAGGTGAAATGCGCGAAATGTTTGCCTCTTAATATCGTTAACTTCACTCGACTTTTACATAAATGATCATAGATTGTGCGTTATGACACTGTTGTCGAATTAAAATATGGAATTTTATTCTTAAACAAACTTTTAAATGGCAACATTAAAATAATCTTACCTCCTTACCTGTAATTTGCCGGTATAATTGCATTTTCAGGTATGTCACATTAAAATATGAAATTTTGTTTCAAAACAAGACTTTAAATGGCAAAATTAAGATGATAAATTCGTCTCATCTGTAATTTAATAACTAATTTTGCATACATGATCGTAGACACTGTTGTCACATTGAAATATGGAATTTTATTTTAAAACAAGACTATATATGGCAAAGTAAAATGGTCTCACCGCCTCACCTGTATTTTGCCGGTGTAATAACATTTTCAGGTATGCAACATTCAAATTTAGCTTCTAAATCAGTGAAATCTTACTCTATTTATTTAATATTAGTCTTTGAATGTGCACATGAACAATCTCTAAAGAATGTTGTAAGAAAATTCATATTCAAAAACATGTGCATTGCGTATCATAAATTATGAAAATTTAACGTCTAACTTTTACTTCCATATTTGACAGACTTTGGTCTCTTTCAATAAAATAAGTCTCAATTTGCACGTGTGTGTATTGTTTAAGGGATATTATAAAAGCTTCTTAATTAGTCGAATCCTATTCAATCCATTTCATATTAGTTTTAAAATTTGCACATGAATTATCTCTAGTGAATGTTTTAAGAAAATAATCTTTGACACGATATGTTCGTGTATGCAGGGCCTTCTTTCACAGACAGGAACACAAGATGATCTTGCCTATTTATGTCAAGGTAGCATTGCATGGTGTGAAAAACACAAATGACCCCTCTTTATATATATACAAAAAATAAGATATGGATCATTCAGCCTTAATTTTACATACAGTTTAGTTTAGTTTAAACATATTTATTTCAATATTTTACATATTTTTATTTTATATGAATATATTTGTTACATAAGATTGAAGGGATGAGAACGAAAGAAAACTTATATAGTTGTAAACTATAGTTTATGAAGGAAATTTTCAGTTGAAAATCGCTGGTATTTTGCTTCTTATATTATTATTATTGTAATATTTCATAAAAACTGCGTTATGTCAATATTTCACATAAATATATGAAAGTGTAAGAAAATAAGTGCCTATCGTCAAAATATCGTATCCCCTTACCTGTAATTGGCAAGTATATTTACTTTTTTTACATTATATATACTTTATGGCTATAATGTTGTTATAACATTTATGAAAAATGCTGTTGTTGTTTTTGTTATTTACTTTTTCAAAATGACGAATTTCAACTTCTAAATGTGTCAAAACATTTTCTATCTATTTCATATTACTTTTAAGATGTGCACATAATAACCTCTTAAGGACGTTGTAGGAAGATAATATTAAGTTTCAATAAAAAGTTAATAAATTTCTGTAACAAAAGTATTTTTCATAAGATTAGCAAAGAATATCTTTAAGGTAGAACGCGACACTTTGCGAACTTTCGAGTAGCGTCTTGAAAATTGGCATGCACAAAATTGACAATATTTCTGATTGGATTTCGTTGATTTTATTTCAATAGTTTCAGCCAATTTTTGTATACACGACGTCAAAGTTGACCATCAAAGCCCGTTTTTGAACATGACGTCGTTGCGTATCCTTGGCAACTGTCACGGGTATTTCTGGAGTATTTTTTGTGTTTTTAAATCGTGAATAGGTTAGAGCACTTAAACATCAAAGACAAAGTGAAATATTCTTAGTTTACAATAAAAACTTGTAAAGTGCGACAACAGATATTTGATGTATAACCCGGATAAATTTACACATAGGTGTAACCGACATGTAGGGCAACACAGGTGATATAGGTATGCCTAAAATACTTCCAAAATTACATTTTCGGCATTACGAACAAATGTTTAAATATGTTAAAGTCAATATTTGATTCTCTTTATCTAAAGTATGTGAATACGCATGCCAAAAAAATGTGTGAATATGTCAAATCTCGTCGGATTTCATTAAGATTAGTCTCAGAATGCACTTGTGTCTATTGTGTAAAAATGATAATTCTGCCACATGTACGACAGCTCCAAGAAGAAGTCACCCTACACTTATTTGCTGAATACAATTTTGGAATTTCAGTTGAAAATTGTTTGCCTCTTTTATCATAACTCTATTTTTGTAAAAAATAAAATTTTAAAAAAAAATGCGTAAGGGCAAATGTTTTAACATTAATATATGAAATTGTTAAACAAGACAAGAAATTAAATGCAGGTATATTTACTTTTCATGTCGAATTTTAGCTTTTAAACAAGGATTTATATTGTAATAAAAATCCGTGTTTTAAATTAGTAAAATCATATTCAATCTATTTCATTTTAGTTTTAATATATGAACAAATCTTTAGAAAATTATATTTAACACGATGTGCCGTTCGTGTTTTTAGAAAATTTACCGACTATCCGGATTTTGTTCAAACCAATTCATAAAATTAACCAATTCCTTATCTCAAGGTGACTTTGTCTGTTCGTGTAGGCAGGGCCTCCTTCAACAGATAGAAATTCGAGATCACCTTGTTTGTTTGTGTCAAGAAGACTTTGTCTGTTCTTATAGACAGGGCTTCTTTTGACAGACAAAATCTCAAGCTAACTTTGTCTGTTTGTGTAGGCAGATTAACAGATTATCTATATATCTTCTTAAATGTACGAATGACATTTCTTTTAGTTGTAGATAACTGTTATGCACGACATTTACGTGCAGAATTATTACATGCTTGCGCTAATGATTCATACTTAGTGCTAAACGTATATAGTTCAGAAGAAGATATTTGTAAATACGAGTACGATTTTTAATTCTTTAACTTAAAAAAGTCTATATTTTTTATTATCAATGTGCTGTGTAAATGGATAATTATACATTTTCTCTTGTACCGGTGAAACCATACATTTGTTCAAACATTTTGTTATGTTCCACATATTGTATTGTAAAATGCCTCGGTGAAAATAAAAGCTGTGTTCTGATCGGTTCCTATGAATGATTATGATTTTATTTAAATTCAAAATATCATCTATTATATCAAATCAAAGTTGTAAAAACATCACTTTCTTAGTGAAGTAATATCTTCACGCATTATCAGGGGTCGAAATGTCTGGTCAATTAAAGGGGTCTAAGTGTCTTAATTGTTCAGGTATCAAGGGTTGAGGTTTCAAAAAAGTCGTTTGTATAATAATTATAAATCTCACTGAAATCACACACAATAGCTTATTTAATTGCATATTCATCTATGATGCCCTTTTCCATCTCTCTTTAAAAAATCTGGTCGGATGACATTAATTGACATTACATGATGCGAGTTCCATCTGCGGCTCGTTTGTTTACAGGGATGAGATGTAATGTGTAAATGAAGCTTATGATAATTAATTAATATACACTCGGATATTTATTGAATTCGGATCAAAAAGATCTGAAGGCACACTATGTAAACATGTAACTGAAATGAATAGACTATATCCTTTATTTTCAAGTACAATAGATGGAATTTAACTTAAATATTTGAGATATTTCTTTAATAAATATATATGTGCGATAAAAGAATTTCTATTTCATGTTTATTATCATGCAAAATAGTATTGTTTTAATAAGATGAAATACGACGAGAAATGCATCATTTAAGATTTAAATCACAATAATGATACAGAAAACAATGCAAATGTGTAACATTTTATAGATTAGTATGCGCACTCCCTTTTTGGCAACGCAGGCAAAATCTACCGTCTGTATGTAGGCGGTCTGTCTGTCTGTCTCTGAAAAGATACACTAAGATGCTTAATGAAATTTTAATCAATATATTTGTGTTCAGCAATAATCATTTCGATAGATTGCACTTCTACCTGCAGTGAATGTAGTGTCGATATAAATAGTGAATGTGATACGGAACCTGATTTGTGTGTTTGCAAAACTGGCTTCGCAATTTCAGGAACAAGATGCAAAGGTAAAGCGAACCAAAATGTTGTTCTGTTAAATAGATATTGACTATTGATTCTTTGATATCCTTAAAATGACTGACACTTTTGCGAGCTTTTGGTATTTTTTGTAAACGCATGCCGACATACCAAACGAAACGGTACAGTAAGATACTTGATGAGATTTATAATAAATTTATTTGCATTTTTAATAAATGTATTTGTGTTTCATAGCAGTTATCACATCGGTCGATTGCGGTGTTGGTAGCGATGCCTGTAGTGTTGACAGTAATAGTAAATGTGATACACAATCCGGTAGAATAGATGTGCTTGCAAATCTGGATTTGTAGTTACAGAAAGAAAACCAAACGCTCTTGACTATATTTTGTTCTTAAAATGTTTGAGATCGTAACAAGATTTTGAAACATAAACATGATAAGACTTTACTTGTTAATCTTGTAAGGGATAGTTTAAGCTCGATACAAATGGCGGATGCACGAACACTGCAGGATATATCTTTATATTATGTTGAGTGATTTTAGTGTTCATGAATTATCTTCATACCCGGGGAACGCGTAAGGCAAAAAGTATTGTTATTCCAATGAAATCTATAACGTAAGAACTATGAACGATTGTAACTACCTTGTAAATTGTCAAGAGAATGATTGGCTTTATTGTTATTTAATCCCAGGGAGTATTTAGTAATAAAACATTAACCAATTACCAACATATTGAGGAAGAACAGCATTAATTGAAATATTCAAAGTCAGATAACTAGCAAAATATTGTTTGGTTATTATCTTTTTTAGGTATTTCTATCTTTTTCTATCTCAAATCCATATTTACAGTAAAAACAAGAAACTTGATCATTATTTACACCATAAACAAAGAATTCTGAACATTATTTACACTCAAAACACACACCAACCATTCATTGGTCACTTATTCAAAATATCTTTACACGTACAAGTCTTTTATAAGAGGCAATACTAAACACCTGGCGAGACCAAGGTCTAAACAACTTACGGTCAAACAAAACAATCACATCGCCACAAAATAATGAACACACAATAAATTACTTTACAACTTTAAGAAACAATATAAACTTCAAAAATTCAACCTTAAATACTACTATACAAAATCTTTTCAGGATCAGAAAACTACATAAACCAAAATAACAAATATTTACAGATATCTTTGAACCAAATCATCAGCTATGAGAATCATGCCAAGACGAAATCATACAATACAACTCAACAAATATCAACCAAATATATCTTACCAAACAAATATACCTCAACAACCAAACATAATGCAACAAGCAAAAAACATCGAAATACAACCAATAAACCATGGTCATTTAAGATCATTGCAAGTAAAGTCAACCAACTTCAACAAATCTACAAAACTCTCTCCTAAACAACATTAAGCTCTTCACTTAAACCCTCCGAGAGTGCTTTTCCTAAACTGATGTAAAATTATCCCAAAACTCGTATATTTGATTTGACATTTACATGTATGGAACGTTAATAAAAAAAGGCAACCAGCAAAATGTTTAAGACTAACTGTTCATTAAAACATGATATTTATACTACCCCTAAAACAGTATATCGCTGTAGAAAACACATTAACTCGTTGTGAAAAAAATAATTGATTGACAGATAAAACTTAAAACTGTATGATTATTCTGACACTGTGGTTCTGTGAATTTTTTTTTATAAGAATTATGATATTCTGGCATATTTAGCATGAAGGCTGAAATTCATAATTACCTAAAAAGTTACCTAGAACGCAAGACTTCGGGCACATTAATGTTTATGTATAAATTGATTACATTGCGACTACGAGTAATTTGTGATTACATTTACATGAAATTACCTTATTCTTTCCTAGTTATTGATTGAATTACATTTCCTTTACGTAGTTAATTATGATTTCATTTGATTACTTTTCTATTGTCTCCTTTTTTATTTTGAAAATGCAAAGGAAGCTACATCTGGGTTCACAATATATATTGATATCAAAATTGCTGTAACTTAGCTGTATCCTAGTTATATTATGAACTTGGGTATAATTAATTTAAACTAAGAAAATTTAATACGGGAAGTCAAAGGCAGTCAGGCGAAGCGGGCTTGGGATTTGACTTGCCCGGCTATAACCTAAAGGGAACCAAATATATCATATTTGAAATTTAATTGTTTCAATAAATACATTAACCAAACCAATTGTTAATTTGATCTAATCTTGTTTTGGAATCAGTTGATTTTATATAAACATTGTGATTCTAAACAAAAATGGTATCGTTAACACTTGAAAATATATCAAAGCGCTAAAAGTACTGAATACGACGTCTCTACTAAGTCTTTGAGTAAGAAATTACTCGTATAACAAAATTCCACAGGTAAATAAATGTGTTTTGTTAAGGCGTGATACATATTGGTCGTCCTGTCTCAATAGTCTTAATAGTTTAGTAACGTTTATATGTAACACAAGGCAGTGTGATATGTTTTTGAACTGATGATTTTGCAGGTAATAAACGTACACGTGATTTATTCCGATAGTGACATGAAGCAATTTTAGTGAATAATTTTGATCATTTTAAATACGTAAGACAAATGTGATATTACAGGTTTGTTAAGTGAAGATCTTATTCATTAACGACCAGTTTCTGTTTTCAGTAATAGATAAATGCACTGCAAATACTGACAACTGTGACGACACAAATGGCGGATGCACAAACACTGCAGGATCATTTACTTGTTCGTGTAACACTGGATTTAATCTTGAGGCGGATGGTTTTACATGTACAGGTAATACACGAACATCAGTGTCTTTTTTCAATGTTTTGTTGAGGTATTACTTTTCCGTGTGTTAATTTGAAAACGATTACACAATGTCACAAGTAAATATTTATCAGAACTGCCTCCAACATTACATAAACGTAATGATAATTATCACATTAATAATTAGAGAAATCAAGTAGGTGATCAGATAACGTTATTGCAGCAATTATGAGGTGCAGTGTTTTTCAGACAAGATACTATTAATAAGCAATTATTTGCTGTTTTTCAGATATAGACGAATGTACTGCAAATACCGACAACTGTGACGACACAAATGGCGGATGCACAAACACTGCAGGATCATTTACTTGTTCGTGTAACGCTGGCTATAACCTTGAGGCTGATGGTTTTACATGCACAGGTAAAATACGGCTGTGTGCTTGTTAAGTAACATATACAAAGAACGATGGATTTTCTCTATAGGTCTGTTGATTATTAAGAGTAACCAAAATATTTTTGCAAAGTACTTCCCTTAATTTTATGATAATAAAATATTTATTTTAGTTAACAAACATTAAATTGACTTCAGCAGTGGTAGTTCCTTTTTGCATGGAATTAGAAATTGCTATGAAGTATTTTTTTTTATTCATTTACAGAATTCATGTTTAGTTTTCTCAGTTTTATATGCCGGGCATATTATGTTCTACCCCCTGGCGTCACACAAGGTCAAATGTCAATGTCACGATTACCTTAAAACTGAAAAGAGTTTCTGCTCAATAATTTAAGTATTAATCAACCTTCAGCATTAAAATTTTATGGGATGAACAACCAAGTCCAATACATGACCCCTATTGATTATGGGGTCATAAGGTCAAAGGTCTTGGTCACAATGATCTTTATACTAAAAGATGTGCTTTCTGGAGCATAACCTTAATGACCCCTATTGATTTTGGGGTTACAAGGTCAAAAGTCAAGGTCACTATTATCTTAAAACTGAAAAGAGTTTTCGCTTAATAACTTAAGTTATAATCAACCTACAGCTGTAAACTTTTATAGGATGAACAGCTATGTTCAATACATTGATCCCTATTGATTTACGGGTCATAGGGTCAAAAGTCAAGGTCACAATAATCTTTACACTGAATATTGTGATTTCTGGAGCATAACTTAAGTTCCATTTGGTCCACAGTGTTCAAACTTCATAGGATAATTGTCAATATTGAGTAGAAGACCCCTATTAATTTTTGGGTCACAAAGTCAAAGGTCAATGTCACTATTACCTTAAAACTGGAAACGGTTTTCGCTCAATACCTTAAGTATCAATCAACCAAGGCTGTAAAATTTTACAAAGGAGGATTGCTTTGTGAAAGATGTAATACTTTATTTCATTCCCATGTCTTACAAATGCTTTATCCTTACTAAAAAAAACTTTCGGGCATATAATGCTCCGCCTAGCGGTGCTCTTGTTTGTTCAGTTAAGAAGCTTGAAAAGGTCATATTTAAAAGAACTATGTCCAGATTATTAATAAATTATTGTTCTATACAGAATCATCAAATCATCAGACAAAATTATCTTTGTGTAAAATTGTACTTGTTGTGTGTATTAAGCTGTCTTATACTGTTTCATACACAGTGTGGCTTTGACAGTTTTGATATTCAAGGTTAGCATGGCAGCTGCCATTTTACAAAAAAAATCCAACAAATTAACATATTAACATTTAATTTTGTTTTTATTTTGAATTCGCCATTTAATATTTATCATACAAAAAGTTTAGAAAATTCTTTTTAAGGAATAAATTTTCCCATGACTGTGGAAATTGTCGTTTTCCCTGGTCTATATAAATTTTAGAAAATGACTTTGTTCACTTCCATTTTCAGTTAATAGAACTATTCCCAGGAAACTATCCGAAAATATGTTATGAAAGTATTACATTGAAGAAAGTGCTATTGTAATAACTTGAAGCCTAAGTCATCGGCACTGTACTTTTGTGAACATTTGTCGTGTGTTATTCATATTTTACAGGCATCATTTAGTTGCTATAAAATGTTTGAAACAAAAGATACCATATATCAAAATGTATGAAATTAAACTTTAATATTAAGTCGATAAAATAACATTCTAACACTATCAGAAATGTTTCTAGATCTATATAAAAACAAAGAAGGCTGGGAACGTGCGTTATTCTACGATAATGAACTCGCGGTTCTTACTTCCTTCCTCTGTATTTTCAAAACCGACACATTGACAACGCCATTTTGTTTTAAAAAATCTGATAAATTGAATAAACTTTTTGTTGAATTTTGTTCAGAAAACAGTCAACAAATTTTAGAAAATGGTCTAACTAAGAAAATAAATCCGAACATCGATATCTTTAATTCAGTCATTAACGCTGTACAGACGTTTAAAGTGTTGTTTAAAAGACCGATAAGCACGTGATCAACAAATCGTATGACTTAATCGAAATCGAGGCGAAGATGCTGAATGATCTATTATGAATTGCGTCTTGCACATTTCTCTGATGCTCTCAGACTTCAACCACATGTAATTTGTTTTCAATTTATCCACTTGATCAAATTCATTCATCACGCTATAAACTATGTCAACGAGTGGCAAAACTCTCATATTTTAATCGAAAATAGTGTTTTAAAAGTGAGGCTAGTTGACTGTTCGTTAAAAGTCGGATCTTATCATGTACATTCGAGGAAATTCCGTTTCTTTTTTTAGTCACTAGATTGAAGTTGCTAAGGTTATCGTTCTTTAAATTATACCCGTATTTCGGGTAAATACTAGGTGGCGCTTCGATCGAAAATTGTATTTCCCCAGGCTGTCGATTTGCCGAACAGAAGCACATAAAAATTTGAGAGACTGGAACCCATCCTAGTGACGTCACAATTTAGCGCCAAACAGCGCGTGCAAAAACAGTCAAGATAAGAAGCTATTTCAATGTTGCAAACCAGTAAACTTTTATTTCACTATAAATAGTCTGTAATTTGCTTGAAAAATATTACGTGAAATAAAATACATAGTCAAACAACTTTATCAACGTTATTAATATTCAATATTAAGTGTTTCTGGAAAAGGGAGGACTTAACGACAGTTTTTTAACCGACTGGAACAGCCTTTAAAGAACATTTCTATTGGAAACTATGGGGCCAAAAAAAAATTAACCACCAAACATATAGTCCAACTAAACGTGTTAGAATGAAAATTGATGTTAATTCTTCGTGCATTATAGTGTAATAATGCACGTTTTTTATTTTCGTTCAAATGCTTTGTAATTAATCACTCAGGCCTATCGGCCTACGTGATTGTATTCCTACGCATTTGAACTCACATCGTACTTTATTCTACGACAATGCACTCAGAATTGATATCTATTTCCTAATTATCCCCCGCCGATGAAATCGGGAGGGGGGTATAGTTTTGGCGTTGTCCGTCCGTCCGTCCGTACGAATATCGTTTCCGGACTAGTTCTCTGCAACTACTGGCTGGAATTCAACGAAACTTTATAGGAATCATCAATATCAAGAGGAGATGCGCATATCGTCGGCTTGTTCCGGTCCGACTCTTTAACTCAGAGTTATGGCCCTTTATTAGTAATACAGTATGCATATAGAGTAAAAATCGTTTCCGCGCTACTTCTCTGCAACTACTGGCTGGAATTCAACAAAACTTTATGAAAACTTTCAATATCAAGAGGAGATGCGCATATCGTCGGCTTGTTCCGGTCCGACACTTTAACTCAGAGTTATGGCCCTTGATTAGTTATGCAGTATGCATATAGAGTAAAATCGTTTCCGCGCTACTTCTCTGCGACTACTGGCTGGAATTCAACAAAACTTTATGGGAACCTTCAATACCAAGAGGAAATGCGCATATCATAGCCTTGTTCCGGTCAGACACTTTAACTCAGAGTTATGGCTCTTGATTAGTTATGCAGTATGTATATAGAGCAAAAATCGTTTCCGCGCTACTTCTCTGCAACTACTGGCTGAAATTCAACAAAACTTTATGGAAACCTTCAATGCCAAGAGAAGATGCGCATATCATTGCCTTGTTGGGGTCAGATATTTTAACTCAGAGTAATGGCCCTTGATTAGTTATGCAGTATGCATATAAAAAAATATTCGTTTCTGCGCTACTTCTCTGCAACTACTGGCTGGAATTCAATCAAACTTTATTGGAACCTTCAATACTAAGAGGAGATGGGCATATCATCGCCTTGTTCGGGTCAGACATTTTCACTTAGAGTTATGGCCCTTGATAACTTATGAAATGTACAACCAGAGCAATAATGCTACTTCTCTGTAACTACTGGCTGGAATTTAATGACACTTTATGGGATACGAAGAGGAGATGTGCATATAGTCGCCTTGTTCCTGTCAGACACTTATAACTCAGATTTATGGCCCTTGGTTAGTTATGCAGTATGCATACATCTCATTGGCATTTCCAGATATTACTATTTAACACAGAGTTATGGCTCTGTTATTGCCCTGAATATTTATCAAGTTCAAAGAATATTACTGTTTATGCCATGATAAATATATAAATAAAGCCTTTAATGTCTTCAGTTGTTGTGTTAGTAATAACCAGTACTCGGTGGGGGATATAAATTCAACGAATTTGCTTGTTTTACATTGTTTTGCAAAAATTCTGTTCAAATAACACATTATGTATATCAAGATTATTTCAGATATAGACGAGTGTAGTACATATACAAACATTTGTGGCCCTTCTGATGGACTATGTACCAATACTGATGGATCGTATACCTGTTCATGTAACACAGGATATATACTTCATAATAATTCATGTACAGGTAAGTTATATAGATAGGAAACTATTGCCTTAATTTACACCAAATACTATTGTATTTAAGAACTTGTAGAATTTAAAGTGATGCAACTTTACATCGTTTTCGCTCTCTGAATCAACTTTACCTGCATTGGTTTCAGGCATAATTCCGGTTTCAATTAGCAGCATAAGATTAAACGTAACTCACCCTTTAATTAGTAATAACTTTTTCGTTGTCAAAAGTTGCCTAGGAGTTAGTGTTTGGGGAAATTGTTTTCGTTTGATGACACATGTAAAAGATTCTTAGTTAATTCCTTCTTTAAAACGCTCTTTCAGAGTAACTTTTCTTTTTATGTTACACAGTTAAACAGAAGCATAATAAAACATGATTTTTTTAAGACGTACTAAGTATTACCTTTAATTATCTAGTGCCACCAGAAACACCGAGAGGTTTTACAATAGATTGTATTCAGCATAACAAGGCCCGATTGTCGTGGTTACCTGGCAACAATGGAGGGTTGACACAAACGTTTGTTATACAGTTAGGAACTGGTGAAAGTTCTTGGGAAGATACAGAAGTGCAAGATGGAGTCAAACAAAATGATCAACCAATTTCCAAAATTCTGACGGGTCTCGGTGATTCTACAACATACTTCGTACGAATGTACGCATATAACAAAGTTGGAAAAAGTCCGCTTTCGGAAATTCTCATTTTTACTACGTCGCCTATAAAGGGTAAGCATCACTTTAATAAAATTAGAACAATATAATAAGCCAACATGAAGACATGGTAGAAATTTGATTTTGATTTTTAATCACTTGATTCAGTGTGGGTTAGTCGGACGTCCGGTGACTCCATTTTATGGTTTTCGGATGTATTTTTTAAAAAAGCAATCGATATATTTCTTTTGTATACAGATGTATTGGTGTCATCATGAAATACTTTTCAAGTTTGAATTTCGTTTCAGATTACTAATTGTTCACAGTTTTGCCCCATATGTGTAGCATTCTTTATCATTAAAATTTGTAAATTAAACTGTTTTACTAAAAAGCTTTTACTTTTTACTACTTCTGTTTTTCCATTTTGATGGAATTGTAATCTAAGAGTTTGCTGACCATTTAACAATATAATTTGTATTTGATTTTTTTTTTCAGTGGAAACAGAAACTACAACTACATTAATCGTGGGCATTGTCTTAAGTGTTGTGATAGTTGTAGTTATATCGTATGCGATTTATGTAACAATACGATTGAAAAGAAACATCTCATTCAAGAAGGGTGGTAATTCAATACGCGACATTTGTGTTTATCAATTATGACTTTTTACTTAACATACTAGTAATATAGTTTCTTTCCATTTCGGCCCCTTGTTCATAATTTTGCAGCATTCTATCTAATATATATATATATATATTTAATCTCAGTGTGTTTTCATATTTAATTTATACAGGTTATTCCCCCTATTAACTGTTGCATAACACTTTAAAAGACTATTATAAGCACTAGTAAAATTGAATGTGCTAGTTATATGTAGAAAAATCATAGGTGAAAGTGTCATAGCAATATGTTTTAATGATAACATATCCTTTTCAGGTCGCGCGCAGGAAAAAGGCGATCAAGTGTAAGAGTATTTAAGAATATTTAATCTAATGATAAATTAATAATGTTTAAATCTGTTACAATATCTTAACTTTACATTAGTGCTGTATGTAAAATAAAAGTTATGACTGTGCTACAATGCTGAATTATAAGAATCTTCATTGAAATCGTATAAGTGTACATGTATGAATGGTGTCAAATGAGTATCAGTATTGGCAAGATCATGCTGAAATTTTCAAATATACAGTTGAGAGAGTTTACATGATATTAGATATATTAAATTTCATAACAAACACAAATTCAAAGCACATGCTCAACAAATGCTAAATTACGTTAAAACACAATGTTGCAAATCAATCAAGCACCGTATAGAAGGGTAGTGTTGTTGCACCAATGTGATATATCATTGTACAAACGTTTTGGTAGATTTGTGCACTTTTGAACAATCTTCGCGTATATTATAAACTGGCACAGAAAGTTAAGATAAACTGGTGTTGCTAAAATCTTTTTATTTACGGTAATCTGACCTCCTTGTACAAAGTGCTTCAAACTGAAGTACTTTTACTGACATATGCTTTCAAATAACAATAATAACAAATAACGTTGCCGGACGACGCACCATCAAACACAGTAAAAGCCAACAGATAATTCTGCATGTAAAAAAAAACATCAAACTGATTGTCATTAGACATAAATGTGAGTGTAGTGTCACAGACATTTGCCAGGTTAAACACAGTCCAGGATCAACAGTCAGGTTGGGCACACATGGTATAAGGAAATATTAGAGACATCTTCATTTTGCGAAATTATTTTTTTCATGCATCATCACATTTATTGCCCATGTGTGTAAGATTTGTGTTTTTAGTGACAATAAATAAATGAAATATATTACTATGTCTCTCAACAATATTTACTGCAAATTTCAGCATGATTGGGCAAATATAAATACAAATATGACACCATTTATACATGCATACTTGTTACGTGTTTAAGCCGTTTTGAAGGTACATTTTGTATTTCAACACGTTAAGAAACGCTGGCAAACATAAAAATATGCATTTTCTGGTCAGATATATGGAAAATAAACATACATTTTTTTTTATTTGTTTTAAGGAATATACATATCGAAGACTCTACAAACATCCCTGACAGTGGAGGGTATGACAATCCATATACTGACCTCAGGACAGAAATGAGGGATTCAGGATCTCCATACCAAGCAATATCAACTATGTAAAGAATAAGACAGATTTTTTTTACTAAGATATGAAATTAACACTCGTGTTTTTAGGTCGAACATAATATACTTTGTATCAGTTGGTAAAAACTTTCTTCATCAAGTAAATAGAGATAGCAATGTAAATAGCTAACGTTTGTACCCTTATGTCAAACATATTGAATTAATTTTGGGGAAAACATTTGTCATAAACATTACATTTAATAAATGTTTTAAAAGCAAAAATTAATTCTGAAAATGAATGAAAAAATGTTTTGGAAAGAAATGATATAAAATGGAACTTTGTATATTATAGCAAAATTTTTAAAGCTACTGTTGATACCAAAATAAGAGCTTTTCAGTATAAATATTTTACGCGAATAATGCTAACAAATAAATATCTTTTCAAAATGAAATTATCGAATACAATTTTGTGTGATTTCTGTAACGTGCAGCCTGAAAATATGGAACATCTATTTCGGGAATGTCATTATGTTCATATAACATGGAATAAACTATGATTTTTTTAAATTTAAACGGGTTACCTATTCTTTTCATTTAAAAAATCATAAGTTTTGGGGGTTTTTTTTTGCAAAACAGTTGGAAGAGTGAACTGATGTAATAATTTTCATTATTAATCTAATGAAATCTTAAGAAAAGATACTTTTTTGATAACTTTCTGTCATATCTTAAACTCTACGGATTTATATTTAAAAAAAAATTGCAATTATTCAAAACAAGGTTAAGTACAATCTTAAGAAATGTACATTTTTACAAAGTATGTGTGTTAATTTTCATAGATTAAACCAATCTGAAAGTCGATATTTTATCAAATTCCGTTCCTTTTACTTTTCAAAGTGCTTCATAGAACCGCGTTCGTAAAAAAGTCATTACGTTAAAGTTAATATCGATGAAACCATATAAAGCTTGACACTTAGTATGTTAATGTTCATCCGTAGCTGTTCTACAGCAATTAGAAACATTCTCCTGCCGCTATCGTTCTTGTCGAAGTTTCTAATTTCTGCAGAACAGCATGGTTGAACACTAACATATTCTTAAAGAAAATCTATGCTCATCTTTGGGTAAAATACTTTTATTGCTGAAATCCATTGAAATAATAATGATCAAAATAAGAGAATGCATTAAATATGCATTCCTATAACTGTCAAGTTAATTAGTTCTTTCTCTAAAAAGCTGACAGTATTTTTTTAATGACTCGATGTATTCATGCTATATTTACTTTAAGTGTGAAAAGATTAAAACGCAACCTATTTTGTATACACAACAAAAGTTTATTTTACATTTAAAAAGAGACTGCATAGCAATTAACAGTATTTAAAAGTATCCAATTTGAGCATCACAAGTGAAATGTATATAAATATACATGTATAAAACTCTGGAGGGAAAGGGGTGCTTCCACCCACCCCATAGAAGCATTGAAAAACAAAAATATCATATAAAAATTGCATAGTTAACTCGTGAAAGATAATGAAAACGTTCAACATTTTACACGCCCGCTCGCACATAAAAACTTTATACATGATATTTTTACAGCCGTTTTCAAACACTTAGCCAGTAAGTAAACCAGTGATCCCGAACGATAAGAAAAATATAACGACAATGAAGTGGCGAAAGGGGCAACTTCTTTCTACAGCTGGAACACCAATTGAGACCTATTATTGTAAAGTGTAAACATCTGTAAAAGGGGTAATCCCTCACATGCATTGAAAACAACAATAAAATATGACAACTTTTGGCTCGGTTTAAAGACATTTTCTACAGTTTTATGAAAAATTAATCCTTTCATAGAATTTTCTAAATTTTTTGTATGATGAGTAAAATTTAATGACGAATTTAAAAACAAAAAGAAAAATATATGTTGACGTGTTGGATTTCTTATAAAATGGCAGTTTCCATGGTAACCGTATATCTAAAAACTGTCAAATAGCCTAACTGTGTTATAACGAATAGAAAATGAATAAGATAGCTTAAAACACACAACGAGCATTGTTTTATGCAAAGATAACCTTATCTAATGATTCTGTATGAAACAAATGATAATCTGAACATATTTCTTTAAAAAATGAGTTTTCCATGTTCTCAACTGAAATAAAATTGAGAAAAATAAACATGAATTCTGAGAATAATTAGAGATATTGAAAAAAGTGTTTCATAGGATTTTCTAATTTTTTTGTATGTTGTGTAAAATTTAATGACAAATTCAAAAAGAAAAAGAAAAATATATGTTGGAGTGTTGGATTTTTTGAAAAATGGCAGTTTCCATGGTAACCGTATATCTCAAAATTGTCGAAATAGCCAAATTGTGTTATAATAATGTATAAAAAAGCTTATTACACTCACAATAAACATAATTTTATACAAAGCTTGCTTTATCTTAGAGTTCTGTATAAAACAAACGATAATTGGAACATATTTCTTTAAAAAATGAGTTTTTTATGCTTCTTAACTTAACAAAAAATGAGAAAAATAAACATGAATTCTGTAAAAAATTAAAGCTATCAAGAAATTTCTTTCATAGAATTTTCTACATTATTGATACATCAAGTAACATTTGATGGTGGATTCAAAAATAGAAATAAAATATATACATGTATGTTGACGTGTTAGTTTTTTGTAAACGGGCAGTTTCCATGGTTACCGCATATGCCAACTGTCAAAATTACCACGCTTTCTTAAGAAATATCAGTGTTACACTAAATGTATTGTCAAATATACATGTTGTAATAAAAATTTCTTTTTCTTCTGGTGTTATATTAAGTAAATGATACTGAATATCTTTCTAAAACATATCTAGGGCCATATTAGTTTTTTCACTCGACTAACATACCCGAACAGTAAACAAGTATTCAGAAATTTACAAAGAAAATAATGAAATTCGGACATTTCTTAGATATTAATTTTTTTTTATTCAACACTTTTAAAATACATGTATATCATTTTAAACTTCTTGCCCAGTTGTCTGCCAGTAATCAAGTTGCGACGCACTTTCGTCACTATACCACAAGTGGGTGGGGTAACGCGCGCAGAATTATCATCAATGCTGTCGTACTAATGCTTGGAGAAATTCTTTATGTGATGTTGTCTAAACGACCTCTTATTCTTTTGAACCGATCTCCTTTTGAACATTTAGAAATATCTATTCTGTATTATTTACTCATTATTTGCTTATAGCCGAAATTTAAACACATATCCGAATACTATTCAACTTGACCTTCATTTGAAGAGTAATTATCCGTGATTATCTTTCTTGGAAGCGCATAACGATGCGCACAGAAAACTACCGAAAACGTCTTTAAAGGATTTTGTTCATGACAGATAATGTAAATGGTGCAACATTTCTCACGCTCCCTAGCACAGGTTAAAGCGGTTTTCAATCTTCAATACGTAAGTGTTGGTTTCAATGATCTCGAAGAACCAGGAAACTAAAACAACAAAATAAGTTTATAAACACACTTGTATGAAAATCGTGTGGCATTATGAAGCTATCACGCGCGGCATTCATTTCAGAACGCAATGTACTTTTCCCATATTGAGATGATTCATCATTATGGAATCAGAAAAAAAAACATCACTTATTGTAAAACAATAATTATGTTGTTTTATCACATGAATATTAAATACTTAAAAACTAAAAACCTTTTTTACGACGCGGTCCGTTGCTATGAAAAATCGATCGGAAGTAAAAGTTACTTAAATTACGATTTTCATAATTTTGCGTTGGTGCTAAAACGTCCCGGTTAGATGATATTGTCAACTAGCTGGAAATAAACAACCGGTCACGTGTCAATCTGTGTGGCAATTACCGTCTTGCAAAAGGAAGTGTACTATACAAATTGTGAAGTATTATGTATAAAAGTTAATATTTAACACCTTACTGTTTCAACTTAAATTTCTGATGGAAATATTCTAATGATATCTCAAAAAGAGGTCTTTTGTACATGCGTTTTTTGTTGTTGTTTTTTTTCTTTTGAATTATTAGTCCCTCATAGTGTCGTTTATCTGTTACAGATATAATAATTATTAACGCTGTTTTAAGTCATCTCAAAATTACAGGTTTCTGTGTGCACGAAATGCAACATTCGTTACTATGGACAAATCGTATTGTAAAATTGTCTATAATGTGTGTACAAACAATTGTTACATGCTTTAGATACTTGATAACATGAAATAAATTCACCATAATTGTATGGACTGGGACCACACTGTTAATCAATTTAAACTCTACGTTATTGCATATTGATCAGAAAAAAGAATCCGCATCACATTGTATAGACATTAAGTTATCAAACCATTGACATCACATTAAGCCTTCTGAGAAGTTGTATTATTTATGTTCCTTTCACTAGTACTGAAATTTTTAATGCTTGCAAACAGTTAAATGCTGGTAAATCAGCTGGGCCTGATTATTTACTAAATGAGTTTTTTAAGTTTGAATCTGATTTTGATCACTTTTTACAGGTTATAGTTTCTTTGTTTAATAAAATGTTTGATATAGGTTACTTTCCATCAAGTTGGACAGAAGGTTTTATTGTACCTATTCATAAAAAAGGGGATATAGATAACCCTAATAATTATAGGGGTATTACCCTTCTTAGCATATTTGGGAAACTTTTTACAAAAGTAATAAATGAACGTTTAAATATATGGGCTGAAAAATACAATGTGTATATAGAATCCCAGGCTGGTTTCAGAAAAAACATGAGCACTATTGATAATGTTTTTATATTACATGGTGTTATAACACATTTATTAAATAATAATAAAAAGTTGTATGCTGTTTTTGTAGATTTCACTAAAGCTTTTGACTATTTGGTAAGAGATGTTATTTGGTATAAATTAATTCAATTTGGAGTGAGAGGTAAAATGTTAGATATTATTAGGTCCATGTATGAGAATGTCAGATCAAGAGTAAAATACAATAATACTATTAGTGAAGAGTTTGTATGTTACTTGGGAGTAAGACAAGGCGAATCCCTTTCGCCGTTTTTATTTTCTATGTATTTAAATGA